AGCTGTCATTGTGATTTGGTTTGGACTGTAGTACTGATGAAATGCTTCTGCACTCCGCTGGTCTGACGTGTGTGTGAATGGCTATTCTACACTGTACCTGTCCACCTTTTTTTTGTTTCTGTTTTGGTTTTGCAAGGTAAAATGTAATTTCTTGTGGAAGGAAACTTCCTACTCCATGTGCCTGCAGGCTGAGGTCATGGCGGGTTGACAGCTATGCTCAAGATAAATAATTTAAACTGTTAAAAATGGAAGTTGCCTGGCTTAAATTTTGAATGAAATATGAATTCTCTTGTGGAAAAGCTCTGCAGCTCCTTACATTTTGTCCGTTTTTTCTGAATCTCTTCTAGTTTTTGCAAGCCTCACCTGACACTGTCATCTTTATATCCATCTGAGCTTCTTGTGCAGAAGATAACAGAAGATAACCAGATCCCTGTTCACCTGCATGTCTCTGTGTCTCTGCAGTACGTGGCTGGGCTGAAAGGAAGTGCCCTAGTTGAGTTTTTCCATGCCAACATTGCAGAGGTATCATGTACCAGGTGTATAAAAAGATGCCTTGTGAACTTTCTGTGCTGCACAGTGTGCTTAGAAATAGAGCTTCCCTGCTCAAACTTAGCCACAGGAGTTGAGCTCTGCAAAACCTGATCAGAAATCTATCTGTGTTACTCCCTTTTGGGTTCCCTGCCACAGCAATTGGGATCCTGCCAGGCATGTTTTGTCCTCAGGATCTTGAAGACATGATTGCTCCAAGAATTTTCTTCTTTTTTTCTTTAAAGTGGGATAAGGAAAGAAAATACGAGGAGTGAAACAGAAGTGTTCTGACTGGGTTTTGTGATATGACTGCAGCACGTGTTCATGGCTGTTGGTACTCCAGAAACAAGGGCAGAGAAACCTGATTGCTGAAAAACATATTTATGTTCTGTGTGAACATCAAATTTAAAAGTAAAAATCTTACCTTAAATTTATGATGTGGCTTTTTGAGTGATAAATCATTGAGGTCTGAGTACATATGTGAGTTGAAAAACTTGAGAAATAGAGCCATTTTTTATTCCCTTATGTCCCTTTCAGATTTTTTAAGTAAGCACAGTTATAAGTTGTGCTTCTCTTTTTACAGCAGGAGGAACTACTAAAGAAAGCAGGTGACTCATTTGAGGGTTCACAGTAAGCTCATCAAGATAGAAGGTGGGAAGGTGCCTGGTTGGAACAGCACCTGTGCTTCTGTCCTCTCTTGAGGATCTTTAAATCCAGCCCCTCAGCAGCATCTCAGTAGACTTTTTGAGGCTTGGGAGGCCACTGCTTTTCTGTTGATTAAAGTTTTGTCAGCAGAGTCTGTTCTAAAAAGTCTTTTTTATACATGAGATGTTTTTCTGGTTTTTCTAGTTTTGTTCAAAAAAAAAAAAAAAAAGAATAATTAGCCCACAGAAAAATAATTCTCTTATTTAAACACAAGATATTTTCAGTGGCCACTATTGTGGCCTCATTTAGCAGCTTTGAGGTGAGCTTGTGTTCTTTGACTATTGCATGTTCAGATGCTTCAGATTTTGAAGTTGCTTCTCTTGTAGTCTAAAGTTGCCTCTAAGGTGATGAAAGTGTCTGAAATATCAAAGTGTGAAAGTGATTTGTGAAACACAATTTACATCTTAGGTGGAAAATGAAGAGCTGAGACATCTTATGTGGTCTTCAGTTCTGTTTTACAAGACTCCCAGTGTGGAAGTGATGGCTTGTGTGCTTCTCTCAACAAAAGCTATTTACTTTCTCTTGGACGATTCTTTTGTTCATGCTGATGAGCGCCAGTCAGGTAAAATAGTCATTTTTAATCAGGTTACAAATTTAATCCCTGTCTGCGTGTTTAACTGAAGTAACAATATTGGTCAATAATCTGACTTAGACCTCCTAGTTGAGGGGTACAGTGGCAAAATTTACTGTATGCAGAGTATTTGCATAAGACTTATGTTCAAAAAGCAGGGTCTTGAGTCATGTCTGCTTCTCAGACAGACCTTTCCAGCTGTCATTGTGTCCATGTTTTTCTGGCATTTCACAGTCCCTGCCATCACCTAGGCAGCTAAAGGCCCTTTCATACCCAAAATGGTGCGTGGACAGTAGTGAACCTCACGGTGTGCATTTAAGTGGGTTGTTAATGCATCTGCTGATTTAACTCTGCTATGTGACAGCTGCTTCAAGAAATGCTGCTAACAAGGAGACTCAGGTGTATTTATTGCTTGAGAAATTATTATCCACTGTACCCACTTTCTTCTTAATTTCTTCAAGTGTGAGATAAGATTTTAATATAAAAATTAAGTTTGTGAACAGAATAATTTTTTTTGTTTGACTTTTTCATTTATATATATACTTTCTAAACAGATTTTTGGAACAAAGAGAATTCAGATTGTGAAAACAGTTCTTTCCACCTCTCTTGCTGCTTTGTGCTAAAACTTAACGACTTGCAGTCAGTAAATGTTGGCCTGTTTGACCAGTACTTCCGAATTACTGGTGAGTAAATCTTGTGCTCTTAAGTTTTTCCAGTCCTGCTTTGTTTTAGTCTTCTGTTAGATGGATTCTTGTCTTTATTAGTGAGATGGAAGAGTGTATTATTTTTCTTGAATCCTTATAGCTATAATTGAATCATAAATGTACAACGTATTTTAAATGAGGAGGAATTATACTATGTATTTTTAAGGGCTTTGTAAGGATTCTATTGTTGCTTTCAGGGATTTCAAGGGTTTCTGAATAATGATGCCTGTTTTCAGGAGAAATAATCCTTGCAAGAAATAATTTCCTGTGACAGTTGCGTGTTGATTCAAGAAATGATAATGCCACGTATGGGTTTGTGAGTGGATTATATTCTGTGCTCTCCTCAGGCCATTCTGCAGATCACATTGTCACCTGCCTGACCAGGGACAGCTACAACACTCACACCTTCATCCAGCAGCTCATGGCAGTTCTGTCTCTGCTTGCACGCACACCCTCACCTGAGCCAGTAGACAAGGACTTCTACTCTGAATTTGGGAGTAAAAACACAGGTGAGTGGTCCTTCCTACATGTCATGAGTTATTTGGGCATCAGACTTCAAGCTTTGTCTAAACTGTACTGATTAAAAGTGGAAAAAAAGTTGAAAGCAGGGACTTTGTATTCAGTGATCTGATAATGCTTTCAGTGAGTTCAGAACTGGGGAGTGGGAACGTTGTCAGTGTATGGAGGTGGATAATCTTTGATATGAGAATCCAGTTGTGTTTCCTTTAACTTTTGCCATCACCTGAACTAATTGTGTGGTTAGAAATCTGCTAAAAAGTATGTTGGTCGTGCAAGAAAGACTCCAGTAGAGATTTGCAATCCAAATACAATTATTCTAATATTGTGTATCAGCAAAAGCACATATGAATAAATTCAAAATGTGAATTCTTCCATCTGTCAGAGGTTTTTGCTTATCCTGGTACATTGAGGAGCTATTGTGTAGGACTGATGTATAATAATGTATGTTTCTTGCAGGAAAAATGGAGAATTACGAACTGATTCACTCTAGCAGAGTAAAATTTATTTATCCAAATGAAGAGGAAATCGGGGACCTTGCTTTTCTAGTGGCAGAGAAGATGGATGGTTTGACTAATCTTCCTTCCCTCAACATCCTTCTGTATGTGTTGGCATTCCAAGTAAATCACGTTGAAGGATCTGCTCAAAACACTAGTTCACTTCAACCTAAAACACTGATACTGACCAGCTCTGATTTGTTCCTCTTTGATGAAGATTATATCAGTTACCCACTACCTGAATTTGCTAAGGAGCCACCAAAGAGAGATAAGTATCAGCTTGCAGATGGAAGACGAATCCGGGATTTAGACAGAGTACTTATGGGTTATCAGACATATCCACAGGCCCTTACGTTTGTGTTTGATGATGTTCAGGATCAGGACCTGATGCAGAATTTAACACTGGATCACTTTGGAGAAGCTGATAGTGTCCCAAGTTGGAATACAAAACAAGAAGGCAGCAAGAGCAGAGAGATCCAGTGGTACATTTTTATCCCAAGTGCAGAAAGCAGGGAAAAATTAATTTCATTGCTTGCGAGGCAGTGGGAGATCCTGTGTGGGAGGGAACTGCCTTTGGAACTCACAGGGTAGTTATTGCACAGCCAGGTGATTGCAGTGTGTGGTACAAGGTAAAGCACAGTGTTTAGGTAAACAGCACCTGCCAAGTTCTTTGTTTCCATGAGGAGCTGACCTGGACTCCCCTGCTCCCTAGTGCAGTGAACACACATAGTGCAGTACACAGAAATACTCTGAAGTGTTAACTGGGGACTGAGCTTCTTGTACAGTCTATTTTTTACGCAATAGTATATAGTGAAAAAAAAAATAAATCATGAGACATCCTGGGAAACTGTATGGAAAAATTAAGGAGTCAACACTAGATAACACTGTCGTCTGGGACTGTTAAGGTTTCCACTGTTCTTCTGTATATATCAGTCTTGCTGTTCTATACAAATTCTAATGTGTAAATAAGGGTAAATGCTTGTGTATGTTCAAGTGCAATGTTCTTTGTACAAGAAGTATTTTGGGTATGCTGCTAATGCTTATTATTTAATCATCTTACAGTTTTACATATGGTTTTTCTTTGAGGCCAAATGAAATTATTTGCTGCCAATCTTCAACCTAGCAGTGAAATTTGAGCCACAAAACAGGTAACAAATTTTCTTATGAAATTATTTTCACAGGCATTCTTTTTCCTTACTCTAGGATAAAAGAATTCCCTGGTAAAGATCCCCTCAGTATCTTCTGGAAATAGGAAATACCCAACATGGGTATATGAGCATTTTGTCAGCAAATAATGAATTTGTATCTCTGAACACAAAGTCTTTCTTTTGCCTATCTTGTCAATACAAATAAAGTGTAATTTGACAGTTTTCTCTTGGCCTTGTCTTTGTTCAAGTTTTTATCTTGTGTTTGCAGGATACCATATGGCAATTCAGCAGCACATATTATGCTCCTAGAGTGCATTAGAAAGTGTGGAATATGCAGCAAGATGAAAGAAGAAAATAGTTTCTTCTACTCTAGCAAGATTATGTTAGTCCAGGAATACATCTGAGTCATGGGAACTGAGGATCTGCAGCTTCTAAATTTAAGGAGAATTTATTTACCTCCCTTAGGTACCAGGGGTTTGCCTTCCAAGCTGTCATCTTTTATTTGAGTGTTACTGTGCCCAACAAGTTTTAGCCTCCCCCACAACACTAAAATCCCTACTCAGTATTATGAAGACAAATACTGAGACTTTGAAAAAGAATGTTCTGTACCCAGTGGTATTAAAAAGGGAAGAACAGTTTTGATACTTTTGTACCAGCTGATGCTGCTTAAAACTGATGCTCATTAAAAAAAAAAAAAAAAAAATTGGGAAATTTGGATTGGAGGAGACCTGAAAGTTCAACATTCAACCTTAAAACAGGGCAAACTTCTAACACGTTGCTTGGGGCCTGGCCAAGCAAGTTAGGAACTTTCTCCAAGAATGGCAAGTCCACAGTGGTTGGTTGGGAATTTGGTGGTTTCACGGTGTATTTTTCCCTGCTTCTGCATAGAAAACAGAGCTTGGCTGAGCTTTTTGGACTCCAGAAACCAGAAATGTTGCAGTCAGTGCAAGGATGACAAAGACAGAGGCAGCCAAAGTCAGATTGTATTGCAGGATGATGTGGAATTCCCTGAGCAAGGAAGGAGGTGAGGAGCATTTACTTTAGTGCAGCTCTGCTTACTTTAGCAGAGCAAGCCTAACCCCTTAAGCTTAGACTGAATGAACAATTGAAGTAGGTACTGCTTGGGGAAAACTGAATTTTCCTGTACTTCAGAGCTTTTCTATTCCCTGAAATCTCATAGTTACTTATGTTCATTTAAGCTTAATTTCTAAATTAAAAATCCTAGGGATAATGTAATTAAAAGATGGCTTAGATCTTCACTAGTTTTTTCTGAAGTAATTAATCACTTCTGTACAATTCTCTATGGTAACATTTGTGGAGGAGCCTGTGGCAACTTGAATAGTTTGATTTGCAAAAGCAATTGAGAACTTCCCAGATGAACAGGTCATTTACAGTGAGGCTGATGGTTTTAAGTGAATGCAAAGGGAATCTGTAATGAGTCCTTAGAAACTGCCTGGGGTTTGAGCCGACATGGGGAGACATCTCTGCCTCTCCTGTAGGGGTTATCCTTGTCTTTGCTTCTGGCTAAGTCAGCCCTGCTTCCATCTCATAAGGTAAGACCTGTCCTGGGGGATGCCTCGTGCCTGAGACAGACATGAATTCTGTCTTTGTAAAAACCAACTGTTTAAATGTATTTTAATACACTAGTGGATATCAGAGAATCTTGTATTAGAATAAGCAACGATAATCCCCTGCTTGTCACGTAGTTTGAGCAGGCAAGGACTCTTTTTCATATTTTATTGCAGAAAAAACCCCACATCTGTGATTAAACTTGAAATTCTTTTAAGTCCACAGCTGTTTAAAACGTTGAATCTGTCCCTTTGGATCAGATTATTAATCCAGGAAACACGAGCAATTCCCCTCTGAGATCTTGGTAAGCACCAATCACATTTTGAGATGAACAAAATGCTGGATATGTCCTGCAATGTGTCTGGATTCTTCCAGTAAGTATCTTACTCTTGGTGCTCTCAGAGCTGCAGAATCACAGAATGTGCCAACTTGGAAGGGACTCACAAGGGTCATCGAGTCCAACATCTAATCTAAATCTCTTTTTTTTTTTTTTTTGGTCTTGTTGAAGTTCATTCCCCTTTGTCATATCCCTGCCTGTCCACGTAGAAACTCCCTCTTTAAAAGGCCCACTTTAAACATGGAAAGGCTGCAATGAATTCTCCCTGGAGCTGCCTTTTCTCTGGGCTGAGCAACCCGAGCTCCCTCAGCCTCTCCCCAGGAGGGTTGCTCTGTGTTAGAACCTGCTGGAGTTGGAGCTTTGTGGGTGTGCATTTCTGTTCATGTAAGTGCAACGTTAAGCTGAAAAATTGTATACACTGTCACTCCTCAGCACCAACCTGTTGTCTCTATTGTCTAATTTTAGTGTAATGTTTTTTGATCTAAATATAGGAGTTTGAGTGAGATGTTCTTGAAAATGCACAATGGGTTCATCTTGAACTTTATAAAATGGCTGATTGTTTCATTTCATAAAGATTTCTCAGAAATTGCCACAGTTTTTACAGAAATTCATCAGAATGAAGTTGCTTTGTAAGCAACTGAGATCACACAGAAGAGCCTTGTTGACTTCTTCCTCTCCTTTTGCAAGAGCACTACAAAGCTCTCCTTGCGTTTTTGTCTTTAGTAATCCTTTATACTCCAATCCCTTCCAGCTTCCAGCTCCTGTTCAGCATTAAGGCAATATCTGAGTAGCTGAAGTTATGAGATCAGATGCATGCATAGGCAGGTGGGCAGACCTTTGTCAAGAAAGTATCTTTTGTACTACCCCAGACTTCCATAGCCTGGCTTTGCAGCTGATGTAGGTATTTGCCACCCAAGGAAGGCCCAGGCAATGATTTATGTTCAGTGTCATCTGCCAAGGATCTGGCCAAAGGTTTTAAAACTTCCCTTGTGTTACAATTGAAAAGTTGTACGTGAACCTCATTAGGAAGGAAAGTAAATGAGGTGCTGACCTGAGCTAAACTGTTTTTCTTTGCAAGAAGAAATGACAGTGACCTGCATCCTGTCTGTCCTGTGTCTGTTCCCGTGCTGCTTTTACAGCACTCTGGTAAGCCTGGCTGTAGATGCACTGCACAGTGATGTATTTCCATCAGCCCCTCTGGCTTGCCTTCCTGTTCTTGTCAGTTAGGATAAGGAGGGGTTTTTTAAACTGAAGTAGCACAAAAAACTTCTGCTTTTTACTTGGATGTCTCTGATCAAAAAGCTTATTTCTGTGGTGCTAATCTTCAGACGTACCAAACCTTAAGCAGAGAAGCAGCAACACGAGGAAAAGCATGAAGTTGTGGCTCAGAGCAGACTACAGGCTTCTGTTTCTTGCTGTCTACCTGATAATTAAGGGCATTTAGTAATTTGGAAAGCTAAAAATTGATGTGGAAAAAGTTGGGGATATGAAATTCCTTAAACCCCGAAGATGCTGAAGAAAGACAATGACCCTCACTCAAAAAACCCACCTGAACAGGTGCATGAAGTGTAACAGCAGTTACCACAGTTGGTAACCTGGGCACCAAGGCCTTGTGCTCCAGTCTTTAAGGTCTCTGAGAGGGAATAATGAGAACTAGAACCTTCAAAGTTGTTGAAAATGCTGAGATAGAACCCCCATCTGTGTCCCGGTACAAAGTGCTGCCTAATAAATGGGTAAGGTGCAAAACTAAAACCAAGAGAAGGGAATGTGTAGCTGCTTTTCACTGCAGGAGAACATGTAAAGGAACTGAGAATCAAGAGGAAGAAACAGGCCAGACTTAGAGCATTAATGTACTGACACTGGTACTGCTGCCCTTCGAGGTTTTGGACTAACAGGATGTGAGCAGCCACAACGATTCCTTCCTGAATCCCACGACAACACTGCTCAGGCAGCCCTACCTGTCTGCTTGCAATTGGGTCATCACGTGTGTGTGTGTGTGAGAGAGAGAGATCAACAGACTCCTATTAAGCTATGCAATCCTTCTAGTGTTTTTGCTTTTATCAGCAAACTTTAAAATTCCTGTTCCTTCTAACTTGCCAAGAGTTAAAAAAAAAAAAAAAAAAAAAAAAATATTGTGTTCTCATCTCTTCAGCAGGACCCTGAGGGGGATATTGGGTAAGTGTGGTTCAACTGACCCTCTTCCTACACACAAGCACTTCTTGCTTGACCTGTTGAGTCCTTTGCTGGTACCTCTTCAGCCTCACAGCCTTCTTACACATTGACAGTTCAGAGCTAAGGGACTTAAATGTTCTTTCCCAGAAGAGTGGAACAAGAGTCCCATTCTCTCCCTGGATGTAACCAAATGGTCAGCTCCCACAGAAGCTGTGTGGCAAGGTGGGCTGGGTGGTAAATCACTTGCCTTGGCTCTGTAGTTTCTGTAAAGATTGCTTAAACAAAAGATTTCAATGGCAGGAAATTGCCCAAGCTGGCCAGGGCTGCACAGACTTCACAGAACAGGGCTGGTGACCCAGCATTTTAAAGTGCAGTGTGTGACACAGGCAGGGAGGCTGGAAGGCTTTGTAGTTTTATCCTTTGCCTTTATCCAGGATTTGTTTGTTTGTTTGTTTGTTTCCTTCTCATTAAGGAGATTGAGTAATTTTTGCCAGGAGCTTCTCAACTCTGAATGTGAAGGTATTCACAGAAAAAATGCCAGGTCTTAGGTCTGAGTTACTTTAGAGCCCAACCTTTCATCAATGCATAAAGCAAAAAGACTGAGAGAGAGAAAGATCCTGAGCGCTGCTGCTTGCCAGCAGTCTGCTGGTGACTGGGAAGATTCAGCCCACGAGGTAAATGATTAATGTTTCATTGAAGCAGTTGGTGTCAGGGCCAAAATATAAAGATGATGTTTCTGGTACTTCCACTGCTAAGCCAGCCACCTTCTGCCATGTGGGCAGGAGACACTTGACTGATAAATCAACCTCTGTGCTTTCCAAAACAAATAAAAGCCCACATGCTACACCTCACAGATAAACACACTGGCAGACAGTTGACAACTCCTACTGTATGTTTTAAAATTGGATTTGCACAGTCCTATTTCAATCAAACATTTACCAGCAGGTGAATGAAACCCTTTTGCCCTGCTTGTACGAGGCCATTTGTGGGGTCTGTCATCAGATCCTTACAAGTCTTGCCTATAAATTTTCCCTTGGATGAAGGTTTTTTCCCCCAGGTTTTCCTGTCTCACATATTCCTTTAATTGCTAGTGACATAGCAAGTCCTATGGCTTTATTTTTAGTGCACTACTAGGCATTTCCTCTGTAAATTTTGGATGGTTTAGAAAGAATCAGATGTTGAACTCTCTGACAGGTCTCAGGATCTTGCTTTGGGAGACTCGGAGGCTTTGAAGTACTTTGTGCAGTTGCCTGTGTGCATGAGCTGGTCTCATAAAGAAAGGAGTGAGGGAACTGAGGTTTTTACTTACTGACAGTTTTGAAGGGTGTTGGGCAAAACAGTGGAATCAACAAAATTGATCCAACGCATTTTGCCTCTAAGGCATAAAGTTTTTATTGATGTCATCCATGAGAAAATCCATTTATCTGCCTAGGAGGAATCCATCTATCAGAAAAGAAGTGGAGCAGCAATTTGTGTTTGTTTGGCTCAGTTTTGTTCCCTGTGCTGTTTCTATGCTGGTGTTTCCATCTTTCATGACACTGCCAACTGAACTGCCACTGTGAGCACATTGGCCTCTTTCCATTGTACACTGAGGGTTACTAATGGCTTTTGGCCACCCATTAATTTGGAGGGGGTTGGTGCTTCACCATCTTACTCATTTCCAGAATCATGAAGATCCAAGGTTGTTGCAGATTTTGGTGTTCCAGATCCAGCAGCAGTGATCAGTAAAGCTTCCATTCTCTCACAGCAGCTCATCTGCAGTAGCTGAAATGTGCTGCTTATACTGCTAGATCAGGAAAGCAGCTTCTGATGACAGATGACCTTTTGATTTTTCAGTTTATGCTCTGCTGCTGTCCAATGACACTACTGAGTGTTTGCATTTTTAGCCTGTGTATTGCTGTTGTATTGCTTGCCTTTAATTGAGGTGAGGTCAGATAAGGAATTTGGCTGCAAACCTTTTGATGTTACTGTGAATCTGATTTATTTAATTCAGACAGGAATTTCACCAAGACTTTCTCTCCCTTCCCTTACTAGTTCCCTTGTAGTAGGTCAGATACAGTGATGATAAGCAGCAGTGAAAACCTTTGAAATCAGTCTTTGTATGTCCTTTTTCCCCTGTACCATTTTCAGGGTTGAGTAATTTAGAAAACTGTCTTAAAGGAGCCATTGCCTCTTCGAGTGCCTCAGGGTAAGATATTTCCACCTTAAAAGTTTATCAGCTATGTGTGGATGCTGGCAACTTAATCCCTGTGTCACACAGCCAGCTCTTGGAAAAACCATCAACAAACATCACCATCCTGCCAGGCTGCCTGTTTTAGCTGTGGGTGCCCAGCAGGCAACAGGGAGCAGAAAAAACAGCCTCATTCCTCTGTTCCCATGGCCAGTCTGGTGCCATGATTGTGGGCAAAGAAAGCACTGAACAGCTTCCATGCTGATCACCCCCCTCTACAAGTGTCCCCACTGTCCATTTGTGACTTTGCCATCCCACCAGGACTGGCCTGAGCTATGATGTCTCTGCTTCATTTCGGAGATCTGCAGGTACCAAATGGTTTCCAGAGCTCTGACTTTGGCAGTGGCATCAGCTGGGCAGTGACAGTGCCAGGGCTGCAGTTGTCCTGTAGCGGGACAAGGGGGCTGAGTCGTCGGATTGAGCTGTGGGCTGGTACTTCTCCCATGGGTTGCAGTGGATGGTTGTGTGCCTTATCTGCTTCCTGTTAGTGCAGGATATATAACAGAGCTGGCTCTTCACCATGCTGGCTCTCCCTGTAGGATGAAGGAAGAAGGAAAGCACAACTGACAGCACTAGTAAGTACGGCGGTTCTTATATGTCAGCACGTGTGTCTTTGTGTGCGTGCAGGGGCAAAAAATATTAATGCTCTCTTTCTTTATGTAAGCACAAGAATAGCTCCCTGTCCTGGTTTCATTTAGGCACCTTCATGTGCTGTTAATGGCTTTGAAAAGAGAGGGTGCCTCATTGCTCAGTGGGATCTGCTGCTATCAGAAGCTCTCCTTAGACTGCTCAGCATAGCCGGCTCTCTTGGCAGTGTAGGGAGACAAAGGCCACGTAAAATCTGTTCATAATCAGTTTTTGGTTCTTTGTAATGTTCAAAAGGAGGATATAAATTGCAGGCCATACCTCAGGTTAGCATGTATTTCTTTTAATCCTGTTCTGAGACTCTGCTATTCTGGGTGCTATGGAAGTGCTCCTTGGATTCATCATGCTGTCAGCAGAGTGTTTGGGAGATGATATATTTTGCCGCTGCTGCCATAGCACCTGCAAAATGTGATGCTTTCCTTGCTGAGCAAGTCAAATATTTTAAATAAATATCAAAGCCTCCCCAAAGTGCTTGATTGATGGATACAATGTGCTTCTTTATTGTTCTGAAGCACAGCCCATCACTCATCTTCCTTTGTTCATGCAAACTTTGGGACAGGCAGTGGCCAAGTCTACCTTCTCTTTGAGGTGTTGTGGACATATTAACACCAGTGGTAAAAGGAAATTAACTTACCCTTCATGAATTCATGGTATTTAGTTTGCCCATTGGATTTGCCTTCTGTTAAGCACACAGTTAACCTCTTTTCATTCCAATTAGTTGAAAACTAAGGATTTCCTTCCTTCTGTTTTGAACTGATATGTAAGAGGAAATCCGTAGATGTTCCTGTTTTGAGTAAACCTTTTACTAAGGAGTCCTGCTTGTGCATTTAAAAAAAGAATAGAAAGAAAGAAAAAGGTTATGTTGACTCAGACATAACACTAGAAGTAGCAGATCCATTTCTGAAGGCTTTGCAGCCAAAAGGCACAGTGCAAAAATGCTCTCTCCCTGTTTACTTTTAACCTCTGGTTTGTCTTGGATCTGATTCTTAGTAGGCGGTGTTATCTTACAGAAATTACAGCTGCTATCACCACCCCTTTTGTGTAAGGGGTCCTGCCTGTAAAAGCATGAAAATGCATCCTCCTGGATTGCTGTTTTTCTTCGTAGCAGCATGCTTCACTCCCACAGCTGACTGCCAGAGTCAGAAGGTAAGTCTGCGAGCCTTTGTTTAAATGTTCATTGAGCGATTCTTCATCTTTGGAGGGTTGTGTGTTGGGAAATTATCCCCCCCCAAAAAACCCTCCTTTTTTCATTTGCATTTACTTAGGTGCAGAATAAAATCCACAAAAGCTTTAGGGTTGTAAGGTATCTTCTTTGCTGTGTGTGTAGACCAAACTGAGGAACTAAAAATAAGGTTGAAGGGAGATGCTTGAGTTTTAGATCAGATTAAATCTCTGTCTCTGTTCGGCATTGAACTCGACAGCAGCAATATCAAAGGAACACACTCAGCATCTTTGTCTTTCTCTGGTTCAGTACATGGGATGGGAACTTAGTATCCATCAGGAGAGGTCCTTAAGTTTCCCAGGAGAAGTTCATTTAAAAAAAAAACTTTTACAATCTCATCAATTTGTTGCTTTGCAACAGGGTAAATACCTTTGTTTCAAGTCTATTTCCCAACAGCTCCCCAGTAAGGATTGTGGAATACTTTCCATTCTGGACGTTATTTAAATTCTGTTGATTTTGTTTTGATCCCTTCATCTCCGTTCTTGCATTTAGCAGCAGCATCCAGAGGAATGTGTGATGCCTTTGCAGGTCTGTTCTGTTCCAGGGTGAGGCAGCCCAGTTCCTGGAGCTGGAATTCACACTAATTCCCCCCATATTGTCTTGTGCCCTTGCCCTTCTTGTGTCCTGCTGTTGGAGGAATGAACTGCCCTACAAGGCTGTGGGTGGCATTTGGAAATGTTATTCCCTGGGGATCCGAAATATGTAAGGGTCTTGAATGACAAAATGGAGCCTTGTGGGGAGTGGACAGACCTGTCCACTTAATTTAAAGACTTAATTTAGAGAAAGCCAGAGCACTGGGAAAATGCTTCAGTGCCAGAACTTTGGTTGGAAGCTTTTGTGTCAACCCTTTATAGAAGGGTGACTACTGGGAAGGCTTGTAGGATCATTAAGGTGACTTGAGCACAAACATGAAGTGTCTCTGCTGATGGATCTCGTTTGTCTGGAGCTGTGGGTACCAGCATAGTTGTGTTCAGAGCCATAAGCTCACATCTTCACCTGGTGTAAGTAGAAATTTAGGTCTCTGTACTTTGAGACACTGTGTTGATTTCTGTAATCACTGAGGTGTCTGGCTTGGCGTGAAACAGTTACATTATCAGGCAGCGAGTACCCGCTTACAGAGAAGTGAAATATTTTGAATCACATCAGGAGCAGTTTATTTAATCCAGGAAAAAGAACTCCCTTCTACATTTTTTTGCCCAAAGGGTTCCTTGTTTTTGGTGAAAGAGAAGAAACATTTGAAAGGTTAAAATGGAAGTTAAGGAAGAGTAAGGATCTAATGAAGCCTTCTCTGATAGTTTAGGATAGCAACAGAAGTTACCTCAAGACTTGGATTTGATAGTTCAGACATGAAAGTGAACCTGTAGCCTAATTTGGATTTTTGTACCTCTTGTTGTGGGCTGGGGGTGATACAGGAGATGTGAGAACCATGAACATTTTTCTGCTGGGAGGAGGCCCATCCCAGGCTGTGCTGGAGGAGGAATGGAGGCAGGTGGGAGATGAGGGAAGTGGCCTCAGCAATCCCTGAGCTTCTAGTGCTGTGCAGCTGAGATGGTGAGAAACACCCAGGTGATGATAACACAGTAGAACTTGTGTTATGTGATCTCTGCACTTGATTGTTCATCCTCGTGCTGAAAAGTGTCTTCCTTGAACAAATGTGAAGAGTTTGTGTGTCCAGGAGGTGCTGGTCTGTTCAGCTAAAATGTTACTGAGAACTTCCTGGGGAGGGACATGGCTGTAATGACTCAAGCATGTGTCTGCAGCTCTGTTTTGTAAAGGACAAGTGCACTGGAAACTTGGTGATTCATTAGATAATGACTATTTCCAGAACCGGCTCCCAGGATTGTTGGAGCTGAACACTGACGTCCAAATGTGTTTTTCTTTCTTCCTTGAGGTTTTTGCCATGCAGAAGGATTTGTGTTATGGTTTGGGGAGGAAAGGACAAAGGGTGAAAAAGAGGGGAATTATGAAATACTTCCCAGCTTGTTCGCTTGAGGTGGAAGAAGAGAAATGAGCAGTAAGGGACATCTGTTCTGAGAGGAGGGAAGGAAGCACTGCAGCATCCAGAGGCTCCCATGTCTCTCAGCTGAGCACGAGGGGCCAGAGGCTGCTCTTGCACAAGCAAGTGTTTGAGAGCAGGGAGAGAGCACAGCCCAGCCTGGAAGACTGAGCTCAGTGTGGACGGAGGCACCACCCTGGCTTTTTACTTCTTTCAGCTACAGTTGGATGTCTTTTGGTTTAAAAGCCTCCTTTAATTTTGGAGATGTTTGAGAGCATCAGTCTTCCTTTTCTGTTCCTTTGTACCCAAAGTGTGATGCAGCCCAGGCTCATCACCTGGCCAGAGTGGCTGTCACCAGGCAGCCCCGCTGCATCACAGGACAGACATTCCCTCTCGCTGCTTCCTTTCCTGCCTCTTCACACTTGGAAACAGTGGTCACAGATGAGCCCAAGGGAGAAGTGCATCATTGCTTTCCATGAGGTTGTGCCCCAGGAGCCACCTCTGACTCAAACTTCTGTCTATCTTTCATCCTCTCCAAAATTTGAGTATCCAGACTGTTGCATTTTTGTCCCTTGATTCCCTCTTCTGCTTTCCTAAGCAGCAAAACTCTCCAGAAAATTACTGCTTCATCAGTTCTGTCACTCAAATAAGAAGGGAAATATTTTTTTTATTTCTTTTCCACTCAGCTGTTTTCTTCCTCTTTCCTCCTGCATGTTGCTGCTGACACAAGCATATTTCCTTATAAAAAGGGGAAGATCTTACTGGAAAGCTGCCTAAAACTTATGAAGTGTCCCGGTAGGGTAGGGGGGATTCCACAATAACTGTCTTGTCTTAGAGACCTGCAAGTAATTAAACATGTCAACAGGGAGGAGTGGCCGCCACTCACCTCTCCCACTGTCCTTCTCCACTTAGAAGTAGAGCCACACTGATGGAGGAAAGAGCAAGAAAATGGAATAACGTGTGAACAGTGGTGTTTTCCTCCACCACTGTGACAGAGAACACATGTCTGATGCCTGAAAGTACAGATGAAATAGAAGGTTGGAGAATTTTAACTCAGTGCTTTGTGCTCCACTGTTTATGTGGTGTTTTTTGTGCAGGTCCCAGGGGAAGGTTTGTGGGGTAATTGTAACTCACAGTAAGGCATCCACAGTGTTTCCTCCTGGGGCATCTTCCTGTTCCTCCTTCCAAGGTGTTGTCTCAGGGGAGGTTAAAGCTGGCACTTGACAGGACTAAGGGCATAGGAGATGTGCTGTTCAGGATCCATGGGCCTGGCTTCAACCTGCTCCTTTCAGAAGCCCAGCTTTAATTTGGAGCTTTAATTTATACTTCAGTCAGCTGGTTGCATGGACTTGTTCCCTACCCCATCAATGGCAGAGCTGATCCTTAGAGACAGAAAAGACAGAGTACTCCAGTGGTGGCACCTCATTTATTCATCCATATTGTTTGTCTTCTCTGTGTTGCTCCATGAAAAATGGGAAATCTCTGACTGCCAGTGGGGTGGAAATGTAAGGAACAGCAAAGCTGTTTTCTGCTGGAAAACATTAGTAAAGCTGATGCTCCCAGGACATGGACAGGTGGATTTGGTGGATCTCAGGTTGGTTTTGAGCTGTTTATAATGCAAGGGAGTCCTTGACATAACGAGTTCCTTGGGGATTCTGCTTCCAGGGGAAGTGGAGGCTACTGTATGATAGGAAAGCCCCAAAAACACAACTAGAAGTTAACGTCCATGGGAAGGGCCACCACAGACACAGAAGTAATTTTCTTCATTGGGCAGCATTCTTGCATGGATGGCTGCAGAAGGTGGATCCATAAACATGAGAAAAAGCTCAGCAACTCCAGTCAGAGGGAACATGGATATGAGTCAGGAGATATTCAAGGGTCGTGTCCCTGTGGACATGGGACTTGGGGGTTATCTCTCAGGAGGTTTTCCTGACAGGGTCTGCTGGCTATCATCTGGGAGGGCCTTCCTGAGCTGTTGATAACTGATGGGAAGCCCTGGGCTTCCTCCCTTGCCTTGAGGCAAATGTACGCATTTGGACTTAAGTACAGAGGAAGCAAAGCTGAGATTGCTGATGGGAATCCAAACCAAGGAGTTCTGGGCACAGTTCTGCTGCATTAACAGCATTGTTCAGGACTGGCTTAAAAAAATCCCAGATCAAGGCCTCCTCCCAAAATTTGATCTAATGCTTTTATTTTTAGAAAACACAGTGCCTGGAGAGGCACAGCTGAGGTGGGTTTTGTGGGCTTTGCCCAGCCAGTGACCTTTGGGGGCATACACAGCTCATGCCTCCCAGCTTTTCTATGGCATCATCAGTGGCAGATAATGTCTTTTTAAAAATTAGCAATAAGATTTCCATGCAGTTGCTTGATTCCAGGAGCTTAGAAATTCAAGGCAATGCTTTTAGAGTAAAATCATGGGTTTTAATGGCAGGTGATGATCATCATCATCATTCACTCTGAGGCTGTACCTCAAAGTGCTCTGGTTGTGTTTCATGTGGAGAAGCAAGGTTGTACAGGGGTACAGAAAAACCCTGTAAGGAAAACAGAACCTTAAAGTTATTCTGGTTGGCTGGAAGGGCTTGTGCTGATAAATCACCTGCCATGTGATTCATCCTGATATTCCTGCCAATGTTTATGGAGTCCTTCTCGTCCAGAGTTAAAGCACCAAGGAGTTCAGAGAGTGCAGAGCACCTTTCCGTATCATCCACCCCCCTGCACCTTCTTGAAGACAGTTGCCAGGAGAAATATTTATGTGAGCAGCTCCTGGCTCTGGGAAATAAACTGAACCAACTCATTCTGTTCTTCAGACCCGAGGAACAGCAATGAAACCACCAGTGAACTGGATCATATCAACAGCATGGAAAAGAGAAATGCTGCACTGCCTTTTAATTCAGTGGCTTCTGGCAAGGGTTATTAATTCAGGGCTTGTCCTCACATGCCACTGCCAAGTGTTTGTAAAAGATGGGCTGAAATTAGCAGTGCAGAGTTATGGTTGTTTTAGAAATGGTTAGAATTTTTACTGTGGGGCGTAGGGAGAAGATAAGATAGCTGGGATGTGCCCTGCTGCCTTCTAGCTGAGATCCAAGCGGGTCCAAGCATGCAGCAGTGTGATGGTTTAGCCCCTGGGAGTGTGTGGTACCTCCCAGCAGCTGCACTGGCCACTGCCCTCCCCAGTGGTATCTGAAGAATGGTGTAAATTGATAAAGGTATTACAAGTTGGCAAGGTAAGTGGCTGGGATAGCTTAATTCTGGGCTTGTTTCCATCCTGTTTTCTCTTTTTCAGTTAAAATCCATGCGATGCAATGTCAAGACGAAGTTTACCTTGAACACAGCGTGTACTGCTTGTGCTGCAGCTCCTAAAATGTTGTGTCCAAGAGGCTGGTTAAAGACCACCCAAGGATTAGGGGTGAGAGACTGCAGGTAAGGCTTATTTCCTCCCTGTGTCAAGCTTTTGGTGCAGCTCTGCTATGCAAGGAGCAGTGTGTGCCTGCAGGAGAACACACACATTGTTTTGAAATGTAAAGGTCCAAGAAGTTTTGTTTTCAGATGCAGAAAAATGGGTTTGTGGCCCCTATTATTGTTGCTTTTGTCTCCTTGCTTTTTGCTGAGAATAAGGTTCTATACACACAGAACAAATTGCCTCTAACTTGCCCTAAACAACCTGAGTTTGCTAATCCTGCTGTGGCAATTTAACAGAGGTCTGTCTCCTGCAGAAGCCTGTTTCAGACCCAGAATTCCTTGGTGGCTTATTAGGAAAATAATATAATGATAGTTCCCCTTGTATATCCTCCCAGCTTCCAGTAATAATCCTCTGAACTTTTTACCTTCCTACTTCACTTTATGACAATTGCTTGTTCATGTGTTCCTTGCTCTTATTCTGTTGAGCTTGGCTGTGATAGGAAAAGGATGAAAGAAAACTGAATTCACAAGGAAGCTTTTGAAAAATGAAACTCTATAGATTATTGTTTGTGTAGCCAGTAGTGAATGTTAACTGTTAATATATAGCTCCATTGTCTGCTCTCTGTGATTCTCTATTCTGTCAAAATACTTTAAAAATAATGGAGGCAGTTTTGCAGTTTGTAGCAGTTTTTGCACACGCACAGGAGTCAGATTGAAGCCAAAGTAGCAATGCTATTGAGACAATTTCCAAGTTCCTTTTGGGAAGGATGTTGTGCCAAAAATAAAATGAAGTGTAAGAATAATGTGAGTGTATGCAGCTTTTCTGAGTGTTATCTGCTCTTGCGGTGGTTGTTGGACAGACCCAAGAATAGTTCTGTGTGCTGTGTACGTGCAGAACAAGAGGCACTGCCACCAAGGGCTCACCCTGCGTGGAGAGGGATGAAAGGTTGAAAAGAAGATGCTTCTTTGAGGGATTTAAGATTGAATAGTGAATCTGTGAATAACATAACTATGAAATACAAATTTATGGCATCTCAATCTGGACTTTTTAGTAAAAGGCAGAAAGAGACAAGTCCCGAGAGGAGATTTTGTTCTTTCAAGGTTAATTTTGATGTGAAGTTAAATGTTGAGACACTCTGGAGATCCTAACTTTGCGTGTCTAACCCTCCAGCATCCAAGGTTACCATCCTGATGCACGATCCTGTCTCATGCCCAGTCCCTGACAGATTTCTTGTAACCAACCTTTGAGGTTCAGACCAATGGGCCTCCTTAGAGAAGACACAAGCAGAGTGCAACCTCTTTGTGTGCCTGTATGGCAGAGGGGATGAGGGCCCTTCCTTCCCTTCAGAGCTCAGTGCACCACAGTGGGACTGCTTAGAAACCCTCCAACAGGCCAGGTCTAGGTTTGTGTTGTAATCACAAATCTTGGATTGTTCTTTTTAAGGTACTCTGTCAAGTTGGGAGAAAATACCCTTTCCCTGCCAGGGTGTCATCACATATGTAAGAAGGAAATTGAGGAGAAGAAGTGCTGTCCAGGATTCTGGGGTACAGAGTGCTATGGTAAGTTTTTAATTTTTTTACAACCGTCGCTAGCTGTTGAATAAGTCAAACCAGCTTTAATAGGAGGCATTAAATATCCACGGATGTGATTAATTTTCATTATTCCTTCGACAATCACAAGGTCTCCATTATCTGTCTGGGAAGCTCAGCACATAATCTCTTTGTTCCAGATGAGCTGAATCCTCTTGCATTTAACACATAACATAACCTCCTGCAGTGGAACTTCCTTTTGTCTCTTCTTTAAAAATAAACTTTTGGAAAGGGATGTTTTTGTTCCTCTTTAACAAAGTTTCCAAAGGAAGAGGAAGATCTTTCTGATGTCCCTGTAGTCTGCAGCGCGTGTGCCACGTGTGCTGCTCTGTAGTCTGGGGTTAGTCAGCCATTTAGCCACAGAAAATAACTCCCCCAAAGCTCCCACTCAGCTTTATGCCAAGTAATGAGAATTTGTTTAGTCTTGTCTCAAAAATCCAAAAGCAAGAACTACTAATCTGAACATTTTTTCATGTGATTGACTAGCTGGGATAGGGAAAGACACTCTCTGGTTACGCAGAAAATGTGAGATTTTTTTGAGTGCTTGAGCCTGTCCTCACAAAAAAAGTGCTTTGAATAAGCAACTGGCTTTGTCAGAGAAATCACATGCCTAAGAGGTTCAGAAATAGTCCCCAGAATTTGGAGGTACCCCACTCCAAAGGTGTGTGGACCATTTTTCTGGGCACACTTCCTGAAGTCAGGGAGAGCTTGAAATGCTCAATATCTTTGCAGAGCAGGCTCCTGTCTGTCCTGAGCCTCAGAATTCCCCTCAGATGTCTGAGATTACCTCTCACTGATGCAAGCAATGGCTCAACCTTGAAAAATGCTTCAGTGCCTTTGTTGAAATTTAGTTATTTATGGCCTGTTGGGACTTTTCCTTAGACTTTTAATAAAAGGCTTTTCTTAGCAGCCCAACTGCTCCTTGGTGTCACTCCAGGCCACATTCACCAGCTCTGGGGCAGTGTTAGGTGTGCTGGGTAATTTACTGGTGAAGAGACCATTGCCTTTGTACAACTGGAATACCTGGGGAAGGAGGAGATGGAAAGGTGGTGGTGGTGGTTCAATCTAACCTTGCCTGGCCTGTCTTTTACCTGCCAGAGTGTCCAGGTGGCTCTGAAAACCCCTGCAGTGGCCATGGCACGTGCTTGGACGGGATGCAGCAAAATGGGACCTGCATCTGCAAGGTCAGTGCCTGATTTATTCTGAGGGTGATGTGTTTTTGTCAGAGGGGGTTGTACAGTGTCTTTGCAGAGGTTCTGGATGAAGGCTGCCCTTCTGCCTGGAAGGTCAGCAGCAGCTTCTTTCATTCCAGCATCAGTGTCTGTGGTTCTCCTGGAGGACTGGTGTGGTCTGCAACAGCACTAAGACACTGTTGGAAAGGATATGGAGTTGGGAAGAATAAGAGGAAAGGAAAGGAAAAAAGAATTGCATTAATGTAACCCCCTAATCAGTTCAAATAATCAGGATCTGTCTCTGGCTGCAAGAGGCCATGAGACACTTGGCTCTTAATGAGGTGCACCTTTTCCAGATTTGGATGATAGACTTCCCACATGGATCAGTCCTGCACCTTGGAAGGCAGAAACTCCCTCTTTCAAGAAAAGCAGGAGGGACCAGAAAGAGAATTTAGGACAGATTTTTTTTTTTCTCTTTCGAGACTTAATACAACAAAAGCACAAACAATCCCTGCACATTTGAATTGTCTAGAGAAGTGTTTCTAAAGTTTCTAGTTTCAAGGATCAATGTCAGACTTGAAGTTTTCTCTTATGATCTGTATGTTTTTTTAAGCACCCTTAATTAATAGCTCAAATTCTACCTCTTGGACTCTTCTTTGTGAAAAGTTGGGCTTGGATTTAACTCAAAGACACCTTATATCAATTAAAATATATGCTGAAAATATATGCTCAAGCCCTGTAACATCAATGTAAAAAATCCCACTGGCATCAGTGAATTCCAGACTCGTTTTTCAGAGGGATATCAGAAGCCAGCTGGTACATTCCTGCCTGTCTCTAATCAGGACATCATTTCCTCAGTGCCCACCAGAATTTTACTGGTGTTTTCCACGCCCTCTGTGTGTCAGTTCACACTGTGGGCTCCTCTGCCATGGGGGCTGGTTGGTGCTACTGGGGCACTGAACAGGTCGGTTTTCTTCACTGTGCTGCTTCAAGCTGTCACAGAAAATCAAAAATGGTGAGAGATTTTGAACTATAACAAAGTGTGGAACAATGGAGTGATACAGGAAAATAATACCTGGCACATTTTGGGACCCTTCTAGGAGCAATACAGTGGGTTCGCCTGCCAGAACTGTAGAGATGAAAATCGTTTTGGCCCAGATTGTCAGTCAGGTAAGAACAAATAATTAAGTGAAACCTCCACAGAAATAACTGAGAGCAAGGACGGAGGAGGGAGAGGTTGGGTAAGGAAGGGTGCTGGAGAGTGGCAGAGTTCAATAGCAGGTGTCTGGGTATTTTGTCTTTATGCCCTTCTCTGCTGTCCCATTAGACAAATGATTCTCAGTCTTTCAGTCAATTCAGTCCATTTTTCCTATTGTAAATCTCTCTCTGCCCCCTTCTCAGGGCTATCCCAGTTTCCTCTCTCTTTTTAGCCAGTCGTTACCTACATCCCTGAAACAACCCACACTCACTGCTCAACTGTTTTTCAGACTCCTGTAACTTCCCTGCTTGTCTCTCAGCTTCTTCCTTGTTGCCCTCCATAAAATATTATTACACACAGCAATTTGCTTTCCATGTCTGGTGCTTTGGGAAGTGATTTATGACCAGTGCAGCCTGGCTGTTAAAGGAGCCCTTTTTGCCCAGCTCCTGGTTCCTTGTGTCCACAAGGTGAGATAGCAGTGATGTTTTTGGTTGTGCTCATGTGTTGTGCATGTGTGCCCAAAAAGCTGGTCTAGATCTTGTATTCGAGATAGTTGCTTTTGCAGGGCAGTACCTTGAGCATGAAACCTTGAGCAGTCTTCTTGAGCCCCAGGAGCTACTTTTGCTGTGGATTACTGGTGGGAAATCAGGGTGCCAGGTGCCAGGGCAGCTGGGCAGTGTGTGCCTGGAGCCCTGTGCCCTGCCTGGCAGGTCTGTCTGGATTTCCCTTGCAGAGTGTGACTGTGTCCACGGGGAGTGCAGCAGCGGTGTCGCTGGCAATGGGAGCTGCACGTGCCATGGAGGCTACACAGGCCCCAGGTGTGACCAAGGTAAATACACTGGGAGCTGCAAAGGGGCTGTTATAGTAACCTGAGCTGTGGGTGTGGGTGCCTGTGTCCCTAAAGGTGCAGGGGGGCAATGAGTAGATGGAAATGTAGAGGGAAGATGATCTGAGCATTGGAGATGTGTCTAGTCAGAGGGAAGAGCTGGGGTCTGCTCCCCACTTTGTGACAGTGGCTCAGATGTACCACCCCTTTATGCCTCTGCTCTGTCTCTGGAAACCAGCTAGAACCTTTCCTGTGCCTAAGCCTTGAGGGACCTGACTACCCAGGCAGCCAGGGATTTAGAGCTGCCTGCACTGCTTATATCCTCTGGCTTTTGTGCCAGCTTGGGGTCCTCTGGAAACCACATTTGCCTTCACACTGAGGTAATTCTGTAAGATAAGTTACATCTTCCCTCAGTGCCTGCATGCTCAAAGGGAAACCCCCTTGCTGTGTGATTGCAGAGCTGTCCCTGTGCAAAGGCGTGACCTGCGAGCCCAACAGCGAGTGTGTGGTGAGGGATGGGACTGCAGAGTGTGCCTGCAAGCCGGGCTACAGAAAGCTTGGGAGCACTTGCCAAGGTGAGAAACTTCTCAACGACCCTAAATGGTCCCCTGTTTGGAAAAAATCTTGTTGCACTGGTGTCTGCAGATGAGTTCAGTCGTGGTGAGTACAATGCCTACATCACTGCAGAGGCTTAAGAACCTGCTTTTTAGGAAACCCTTGAAGATTAAGGGCTGTTTCTCGCTCTCCTCTCACTTGGTCATGAAAGCAAGAAGTGAATTAGAGTTGCAGGTTCCATCCAGCACTCACTTATAAGTGTGTACTAAATAATGTGATGGCAGGGTATTGGTGAGTCTGAACCAGTTTAAATAACACAGTGTGTGATTGGCAGAGTTCTTCACTGGTTTGTGAATTGGTTTTCTTAAAAGAAAGTCAATAAGATGCATTTGATCAAATAACTATGGACAACTCTGTTTTCACTGGCTTTTTGCAGATTTTGCTGGTCAAACTGCAGTTTATCTTCTCAGATATGATGGAAATTCAGAAGTAAATCCAAGCATTCTCTGTCACTCACACTTCTATTGCTAAAGTAACATGAAATATGTGTCATCCAAATTCCTCAGATTTAAAAACCCCAAATGTCTGCTGTCTGAAATGATTTTATTTTCCTGTGAAATTGTAGAAGTTTGATAGTACAAATTCCTCCATTCTTTCCAGGCCTTTTGCATTCTTCTGCGCTGCAGCAAGTGCTGTTTTGAAAAGAGAAATTTGGTCCTACTCACCTCTCATCCCTTTAATTGCAGCTCAGGATCCTTGTTACCCTTCTCCATGCTCCCCCTTCGCTGTATGTAAAGCTCTGGGATCACGAACATATCAGTGTACCTGCAAAGAAGGATATCAAGGAGATGGGAGCATTTGCCAGCCCATAAACCCTTGTGTTGACAACAATGGAGGCTGCCCAGAAAACTCTACAATTTGTGTTTACAGACGTCCAGGAGAGGTAAGAACAACAACAAGGGTCTGAAAAATGGCCAGGTGAGAAGCTTTTGAAATGAACTGGTGATTGGGTTGGTCTGATCTGCTCTCCTCACTTTACACTTTGCAAAGGGAAACCACACAGCTCTTTTCTAGGGTGACTTAATGGGTCCAAGATGATGAATGCAACTCTATGATCACTGTGTTGCCTTCCCTTAGGCAACTTGTGCTTGCAAGCCTGGGATGAGCAGGAGAACTCCTTCCTCCGAGTGTTCAGCGTTTCCCAGCGATTGCCGGCAGTATTTCTGCGACGTGACCTCCAAGTGTGAAATCAATGCTCAGGGGAATCCTAGGTAAGCCAGTTTAAAGACTGCAAATAAAGAAGCTTATTCTGCACATAGAATGGAGACTGAGTTTGGATGAGCTGAACTTTGAAACAGCTGAGAGTGATCTCAGGAGTATTGGCCACAAGGGAGCCCCTGGTGGTCTAGTGGTTAAGGACGCGGCGCTGTCACCGCTGAGGCCCGGGTTTGATTCCTGGTCAGGGCCACTCCCCGGGCAGATGGAGCTCGTTAGCCCATAAGGCAATCCATCTACGTCCTGAGGACCTTGCTGCCACCGTCCAAGCTCGCTTGGCCCCGGCAGATGAACCTCAGGATTAAAGGGTGGGCTCAGTTCTGCGCACACTGTGTCTCACCTAAAAAATCCAATGCCCAGGCTGGAAGGTGTAAAGACCTTCCCCGGTTCTTCGTTCGCGAAGACTGGCCATTAATTGGCCACAGCTGCCTCTTGAGAAGAGCCTGTTTGTAGCAAACCCATTGAAAGAGGAGTTTTACATCAGTCATTGTAAATTTGGGCATGTGGGTCAGAAGATGCTTTAAATCTGGGGTAGCAGGACCTTCTGTGATGTGAACTGGAGAAGTAGCCTCCCAGGCTAGTGGTGGTAGTAGGTTATTATGAATTAATAATCAACCATTAAAGGGGAAATATGTGACTTATTTGCTCACATTTGCCCACACTTGCTTCTGAAGGATAAGTCTTTGTCTCTTCTCCCACTCAGGCCTATGAGCAGGAAATAAAGTAGAATTGCAGATAGAAAGGGAAGGGAGAAACTGAGGGAAGGGACACCAGACCTCGTTTAGTCCTTTGGAGCAAAACACCTACTAGTTGATACTCCTTAGATGGGAAATATTGCCAGATATAGGATCATTTTTGCATACCTGAGGATTTTATGTGTTATCAAGAAAAGATGGAGCTTGACTGAGAGACTGAAGAGGGAAAGAGCAAGCCCATCTCCCTGACCTTTCCTTTTCCAGTGCTGCTGAAACTATTATCATCCACCTGCTCCTCGTGTGCTCCAGGCCAGGACTGAAAGGCAGTGGCTTCCCTTTCTGAAGGTCTGCGGGCACAGAGCAGGACATCGTGTTCAGCACAGCCCCTGCTTTATAGATCTGTTCCCCAGCTGCTGGCACGCAGCCCTGGGAGGCTGGAGTGATGTCAGAGCTCTCCCCTGTGCTGCGTGTCTTTGCATGGCTGAAACAGAAAGAGCAGAGCCGATCCTTGGACAAAGCCCAAACGGGAAAAAACACAGTTATCGGCCAGGGATCTTCGGGAGTCCCTGAGTGATGACTGTGGGGCCGTGTGAATCAGGGCGGAGATTTTCACATGTAGATAAGCTTTTCTGGAAAAGTCATCAGCCTGTCTGGGCCCCTCACTGAGTTGAGATGAACTGTAGATACCTGGTGTGTTTGAGCTGGCACTTCTTGCTGAAGCCAAGGGGTCACATAGGAGCTGTTTGCCAGATTGCCACTTAGCCTGCGGGTTTTATGGATTTTTTTATGCATTACCTCAAATTTTTATATGCTGTGGTGACTGGTACTGACTGAAGTTAGAAAGGTGTTGATAAACATATTGTGGATGTCTGCACCCTGAACCATACGGCAATCCTTATGTTAGTTTTATCAGAGAAAGCATCTTCATTCTTTTGGGATAGGTCAAATTTGCTTGCTCTGCAGAATTGTTCATCTTTTTTCCTGTCACTTAGTTTAGGCAGAAGTTACTCAGCTCTTACCTGTGTCCCTGGAGGTGTTCAAGGCCAGTCTGGATGGGGCTTTGAGCAGCCTGTCTAATGGAAGGTGTCCCTGCCCATGGCAGGAGGGTTGGAACAAAATGGTCTTTAAAGGTCCCTTCCAACCCAAACCATTCCATTATCCAACGATCTTAAAGCTGAGATTTGTCTTTCAAGCATAGATACTGAACGTGTTGTTCTACTCACATTTGTTGAATATGTTGCAAACTGGTTTATAATGATTTGTTATGTTTCGTTCTTGTCTCTTAGCTGTGTGTGTAAAGAATGGGAGATTGGAGATGGGAGAAGCTGCTATAAAGATCTCTTGGGGGAGATAAATCAGCACAATTTGCGAGGAAGGTTTGCTAGGAAATTTAACGTCGCCAAGAAAATGTTTGGTAAGTGTTTTTGGGTTTTGTTTGGGGTATGGAACAGATGTGGGGACAAGAGTGGGTCAGAAAGGGCTACTTTCAGCATAAAAGCTCTTTCAGCATAATAGATCTGTTTCAAAATGTATGATCATGGGCTGCAAAATGAAACACATTGCATCTCTGAACTCATCTTGCCAGTTCTGGATTGGGAATTTGGGAAACCGTTGAGTTTTATGTATTTGACAGAATGAGAACCCTTTGGGTCATGTCAAAGCTAATTTATGTTAGATACCTTCTCCAGCTTGTCCTCTGCCAGTCTTCTATCTCCACTGCCTTGCAGGAGCACAGGGATAAAAGGGCTAAGAGCTCAACTTAGCTTTTTTGAGTACCCTTCCTCATATCAGTGTTGCCAACACTCATGTTTTGCATATGTTTTCCATAATGATTTATGCTATGGGCAACCACATGAAGATTTCTGGCTTCCTTACTCCTGTGCATTGGGACTTAATAACAACCTTTGTTGATTGAGTGAAAACTGACAACTGTGGATTCATAGCAGCTTCTCAAGAAGTAGTTAATGTTAAAAAATATTGATGAGACGCAAAAATTAGTTGTTTCAAGGGGAAGACTTGGTCCAAGAATAAGGTAGTAAGCATGGAGGAACAAAATTATTATCAGCATTCTGCAAAATTTCAGCAGTGATTCAAAGTGCACCCAAGTCACCAATCCTTCAGAAATCTCCTTGGCAAGTGCTTAAAACTCATAGCAACGAAGCTGGGCTGTGATAGCAGTACCAAACTACCTCTGCTTCCTTGTAAACAAGTACTAGTTACAAGTACTAGTTACTAGACGGATGATGGGTAGATTGACTTGTGCTGTTAACAAGAGGAATAATTATTGCTGTAGTGAAACCATACATCAAGTAATTACTTCACATTGCCCCTCTTCTTACAGCTTCTGGTTGCTCCACGTTGCTGACTAAATATGGGCCCTTCACAGTCTTTGTGCCATCCCTTCTCCCCATTCATGATAGAATGGAATTTAATGTAAGTTTTCTTGGTTTCAGCGAATTTTTGCTGTCTTAGGATTCTTTCCTGTCTGAGCTCTGCAGCCTGTAAAAACTGATTGACAAAAGAGAGGAACTTTGGCAGGCAATATTTATAGAAACTGTCTTTTGGGAAGGGTTTTCATTGTCTGGTTAAGTAGCAGTCTCCCAGAGGATGTTACATCCCTCACATTATTTTAAAAATCTCTATCTCTTTCTCCAATACTGAGGGAGTTGGTTTGGTTTTAATGTCAGGAAGTGTGAGTCTTTCTGGCCATTCTTCACTTGTAGCTCCAACCTCCTGTGTGTGACTATTCTCAAAAAATTAGGTGGCTTTTCAGTACTTGAGGGTGGTGTTTTCAGAAGGGGCTGAGTATTGCATCAAAGTATTGGCTTTTGGACCTATGGCCAGAAATGGTAATTCTGGATTCATTGAAAATACATCAATAAAGGCCCCTGAGTTATCTTGTCTACCTGTTTCCAGAAGGATCAGTTCCACCTAAATCAGTACTGACTGAGGATTGTTTTACAAAAACATCAGTGATTAAAAACCCTGAGAAGAAAGGAAGAAACCAAATGCAAATTTAGCAGATTAGACCACCTACATCATTCGGCATCAACAAAGATTGTGTTTGGAGAGCTTCAACAAATTTTATAATCTCAACCATGCAAGGATAGTTCTCAAATTGTCCAAATCCAATAGGTTTCTGTCTGGGGGATTCCTCTAAAGTCACTTGCAGGTTAGTCAGTCTCCCTGTGTTTGAATGAGTTCACAAACAGAAGCAAGAGTTTTGCCACAGAGCTACTCCAGTGAACCAAAATGAAGAGGGAAGTTCCATCTTGTCTACTAAGTATTTCTGTGTGTGTGTGATAGCTGGGGAAAAGGCAATGTCATGATAAATGAGGTTTCTGAAAGAACATGTCATTTATCTTTCTAATGTGGACTTTGTTCCCCAAAGGACACCACTGCTGAGCGGTTGTGCAGAATGCACATTGTTCCTGGCCTGCACTTGATAGAAGACATGATAAAAACCAAGACTATGTGGACCTTGTCAGGACACCAGCTGACATTCACAAGCCAGGTAAAGCATCTCCTGAAGTCCTGGACTGCTGCTTTCACACAGCACAGATGAGAGCTTGAGCAGAGTTCCCTTGATGCACTCTCCCGACCAGAAAACCTTTTCTGTCATCAGCCTGCCTGTGATCAGAACAAGCTCCTTTGTGGAGTCCCAAGCAATGGGATTTAAGACCAGACACCCCAAGCAACCACATTCCCTTTCTCACAGACAGCAAATTAGCCAGAACTTCACTTATGAATGGTCTTTGTGTGGTCTGTCTGTGTATTCTGGAAAAGAGACCTTTTCCCTGCACCAGCCATTAGCAGCTACAATATCTGTGCGGCTGACATGGAATAGGCAACGAAGTCTCTCTTCAGAGTGAATGCTTCCTTGGGGTTTGTGTGCTTGGACACAGCCACATGCTCAATATTTTCTAGTTTCTCTTTTTTTCTCTTTCTATTTTATTTTTCTTAGTCTTTCTATCAAAGAATTTTTCATCATCCTGTTCTGATATGAAAGGCTCTTTTTTTCCTCTTTTCCAGTTGACTCATGTTTTCCAGTCTCCAGAGATCTCTCTCCATCCTGCAGCTTTCCTGCATGCCTGCTCACAGGTGGCCAAGGGAGAGAGCCCTGTTTCCTCTCTGAGGATCCAACCTTGGCCTTGAGGTCTAGGTCATAGTGCATGTGCCCTGCATGCATTGAAAGGACAAAGCACTATTTGGAGCCAGGGAATCCGAGCTGAGCTTGTCAATGCTCCTTTTAAAATTCTTTCCTGTGGGTTTACTCGGGACTCTTTTGATCTGGGAAGTCTGCCCTCCCCTTCCTGTGTTTCAGCCAGAATCCTCAGTGATGTGAGCTGAAGTTTAGGGCAGGGAGGAGCAATTCAAAGAACTGCACGTGGTGAAATGAGAAGCACAGGGAAGCTGTGCTTGCCTGCACTGGGATAGTGGCTGCAGCACCAACACTTGGATGTTTAGTTTATAGATCACCCTTGAACCCCTTCAGACACCCAGATTCAGTGCATGGTGGTGTGCAAAGGGGAAGGGCCAGATCTGTGCCTTGTACCTCAGTGAGCCTGATGCTTTAGCTCTGTTATGAAGAATCCTTGTCAGCATCATGATTCAATAAAAATTGCAGTCAAAGCTGTAGTTCCAGGATTGCCTCCAAATCATGTACCCTGCTGCCCAGGGGTCACTGTGCCTCTCTTGTACTGCCTTCTTGTACTTGGCAGACTGAGGCAGCTCTTGGTGGTCACAGCACCCTTTTGTGAGCCAGAGCTGGGACCAAGCATTGTTCACACTCAGACTTAATTCTAGAGCTGATTGTCCACCCTTAAATTTACTTTTTGGAGAGTAACTCCAAAGCCTTCACTTTGCTGACCCATAGGCAGAGAGCACTGATTTATAGATCTGTCATGATAACAGAGATACCCCACAAGAAAATAACCTTTTATTTATCCAGACATACATCAAATCATTTCGATATCAAGACCTGCCGGGGGAACTGTACAACGTTCTGCAGTCAAACCTGCCAGCAGCCAACGGCATCATGCATGTGGTTAACACCCTGAGGAAAAAAACCAGCACTGACAACCTCAGCAACCCACAGGTATTGGTATTTCTTCTCTTTTATGGGACAGCACAATAAACACTTTTAAAAAAAGAGCTGTTTTCATCATTACCCTTCCAAATCACTGAGGCTTTTTTCAAAGAGAAAAGGCTGGGGTTTTTTTATTTCAGCTCCTGATAAGACCTTTTAGGCATTAGTAAAATACCATTAAAAGTAGTTAATAGCACTGCATAACCCAGATAAAGATCTTGCAACTATGTTTTTACAGTGCTTGGATAAATAGAGAATTCTCCTTCCATGAGTGAGATCACTCCCTTTGTAGCAAATAAACTCTTTTAAAACTGTGTCTTAAATAGTATGTATCTTAAAGGATAAACACTGAATAACATTTTTCACATAAAAATCAAATGAAGATTTTCTTTAGTTGGTCTGTACTGCATTTTGAAATTATAATTGAGAAGTTGTCTTTGCCTTAAAAATATTTGAAATGGGGACAAATAATGATTAGACTTTTGCATTCTGAGGTCATGTCTTGAGTTTAAGACACTGGGTTGGAGTTTCAGGGTTCTGCTAAATACTTTTCCCCATTAGCTGGGAAATGGTTCTGTCATAGCTATTGCATTGTTAAGCCTGAGCACTTTTATAGTGTTTCTGTAAGCAGAAAGCAGGATCTCTTGCCCTCCTTGCAAAAAACTTACAGAGAATGACAAAATCTCTTGGAAGTGGTAGAACTTTGGTAACAGTTTGCACTTACTTTACCTCATTGTAGTCAGTCTGTAAAAAACGACCGTGTCATGTTGTGGTTTTACTTTCTGTGTTCAAAAAGCATCTGGAATGTCGAGGACCCTGAGAATGGTGTACCAATTGTTCTGGGAATTCATAGGGATTTGATTGTGCCCATCTCTTAGAGGATGATGGGTCTCCTGTAGATCTTTACCTGCAAACCACAAACTGGGCATTCCAGCGTGTGCTCAGACCTCACTCAGCCCCAGCCACGTTTTTCCTCTCTGTGTCTTCTTGCAGAAAACCATTGGTGAGATCCTTGCTTCAATGGAGATCTTCAGTAGGTTTGAAACTATACTGGAGGTAAGCGAGTTTTTATCTGGAGAGGTGTTGCCCTGCTGCTGTACAAAGCCTGCTGCTGCCTTGGGGGGAATTCTGAATAACATTTAAACACATCTCAGTGGTTTTCAATAGCTCTGCCTCTAGTGTGTTGCTTAGTGTTTCCTCTCCCTTCCCGATGGACCCTCCTCACTAACCCTTGCTCGATCCATGATGAAATGTCTCACTGTTTCTGCAGAACTGTGGCCTGCCTGCAATCCTGGATGGACCAGGCCCTTTTACTGTATTTGTGCCCAGCAATGATGGTGTGGATAAGCTGAGAGATGGGAGGCTCATTTATCTTTTCACAGAGGTGAGAGCTCACAGTGCTGTAAGACATCCTGAGCTGACTGTGTTGCACTGGAATGACTTGTGCAGTGTGTCTGGTCATTGCTGAAAATTCTTCCTGGAGTTAACTAAACCAGGAACTTCACAGTTTCTGTACAGCTCTGGGAGAGAAGTGGATGCTGATGGAGCCTGCAGTGAGAAATATGGTTAGCCAGGTTGTTTAAATCTGGTGCTTGGCTTTTCCTCACCCCGGCTTTGGTAGGGGAAGATGAAGGAAATTATTCACCAAGTGAATTCACTGCTAGAGACGTTGGCATTGCCAGTCACTGGTTAAAAGAAAATTTATTTGCCTCCTCTTCTGAGTACTGAAGGGGTAACTAATCCTGATGTTGTCTTCTTTCCTTAGGGCATAAATAAACTTCAGGAACTCGTGAAACATCACATCTACACTGCAGCAGCGGTAAGGGCAGCTCCCACTCCCCAGAGCTGGACTCCTGTAGAACAGCACATTATCAACAGACTCGTTTGGTACAGAGGTCACAGTATTGGTGACCTCAGCTGCTGCTTCTTGGACTTCCCCTGGAGGAGCAGAGATGTGATTCAGGATATGATGAGGCAAAAAGCTTACTATGAAATTGGTTGCTAAAAGGGACAGCTGTGCTGCCCCTCAAGAGACTCTTAAGTTTTCTGGAGTGGTGGTGCTCCTTAGTTGGGTGGCCTTTACAACGAAAACATTGTCCAGCAGATTCTGCTGCAGGACACAGAAATAGTTGTCTTGGTTCTCAGAACTTCTCTTTTCTCAAATCATCAAGTTTCTCAGTACAGAAGCTGCAGTTTACTCTTTTTTTCTGCCTTTAGGCTTATTTATTCAGGCAAAATATGTTCTGTATTATGTTTCTGGCTGCACTTTCATTTTTTATTGGATATGGCCTGGAAAATCCCCTTATTAGTCTGACCCTACTTGCAGCTGTATTAGTAAGAGACACTGTTAGTGAGATTTACTTCAGCTGTTCTGAACCTTTACACAAAGAATGAAAACCAAGGCAGCTGCCACCAGCACTGCTGTGTTTCTGGTATTGCAAACAATTCACACAAAGTCCTGGATGTCCCTCTGACCCATTGTTTGTTTTTAAGGTATTTCATGAAATGTAAATGTTAAGTCCCCCTGAGAAGCTTTTCCAGTGGCAAGAATCATGGAAGGATTCTGGAAGCTGCACTGAAAAGACCCTGCTTTTTCCTGGTACCATCCCCTTGTGTTTTTATTTCAGGTGACTGTAGATAAACTGATGCTGATGCCACAAATTGTTACTATGGCTAACCAGATACTTACCATCAACATCAGTACAGACGTAAGTGTGAATCAAAACCCTTTTGGGCAAACCCTCCCGTGCTAGGAGGGAGTCTGGATGTGTTCTGAACAAGTGGTTTCAGCCTATCTCTGCTTCCCCCTCTGCTTAAAAAACTCGACTTAAAGGAGGTCATTGAATTAGTTTGCTTCTTCTCATCCAATCTGTGACTCCACTAAGAGGCTTAACCATTTGTGTGGTTGCCCTTGATGTTGTGAACCATCTGTTTCCTGCGTTGCCTTTATGGAGTTGATGCTGCCTAATGGGCTAAAACTGTGTTTCTGCACCAGGGAAGAATTCTGATGGATGAATCAGGGATCCCCTTAAACATGCGAGACATTGTGGCATCAAACGGTATCATTCATACCTTGGATGGCATCTTCATCCCCCCCTCAATAATTCCCATTTTGCCTCACAGATGCAATGAGGAGCAACATAAAATTGTGACGGTAAGTCGGGTTGTCCCATTCTCACACTAGTGCTCACTGTGGGCCCCACACTCACCTGGAGGGACAAAGGCAGGCTGTGTGCATTGCACTGGGGAAATGTACTCCCTCTGAGGGGGAATTTTAAATAACATTTAAACACATCTCAGTGGTTTTCAGTAGCTCTGCCTCTAGTGTGTTGCTTAGTGTTCCCTTCGCTCACTAACCCTTGCTCCATCCATGATGAGAACTTTGGCACCATCAGCACGATCAGTGAGCCTTCTGCTCACATTTGGCACTGCTCTCCTGGTCATCAGCATGTTCCCTGTAGGTTGTTGTTCTTTCTGTGCACTCCATCTCGCAGACATGTGCAAGCATCCCCTCGAGACAAGGGAGTCATTTTATTAAAGTAATAAACTTAACCCATTTCAGAGTGTGGAAACTCCCTCCTAGGAATGTTTCAGTTACGTGTTGTGATGTTTTGGATGTAAACTGTAAGGGATAGCTCTGTAGCATTCTTAGCATGTAGCTAAGCATGGGTTTCTTTGAGATTGATTTTTTGCCTCTTCTTTTCTTAACAGGGCTCTTGTGTGGATTGTGAGGCCCTCAACACCAGCATTTGCCCACCTGGCAGCATCGAAATGGTAAATATTTGTGATTATTTTGGTAATTTCTTCTTTTTACCATCCAGTACTACCACTGCCTTTACCACAGCCAGAGAGTTACAACAAGCTTTCTGCATGGCAGAGGGTGAGAAACAATTTGTTCTTGGCCTGTGCTCCCTGTTGGTTCAGAGATGAGCAGAACTAGCTTTCTGGTTTGTTTTTTTTGTGAAAGCCAGAGAGATGTTCACCACTGTTAACTGTTGGGTGTCCTCTGAGAGATCTGACTTCCAGGAGAACTTGTTAATGCAGTCTCAGCATGAATGCCTGGAGCAAAGCTCTGCAAAATCACTACTTGCTTATTTTCCTCCCTGACTGAGGCAGGTGAAGCCTAGGGAATCATCTGGGGCCCAGTTCTGCCCATGTCCAATTCCATGACAGGTCACTGTTGTTCCAAAATTATTTGTAGCCCTTTCCTCCCTTTCTCTTATTGTCTCTGTCTCACTTCCCTCCCTCTTAGTCTCACTCTCACTTGTTTTTCCTCCCTCTCAAACTCTCATTTTCTCTCTCACTCCCCCTCTGCCCCATTCTCCCTCCCTTCTGCCTTCTCCCCTCTCATATCTCTTTTCTCCCCTCTTTCTTAACCTTTATTTCCTCCCCTTGCCCTTTTGTCCCCCTTGTATCCTCCCCTTCCCTTCCTTCCCCACTCTCCCTGCCCTCTCCCCCTGCTCTTGTTCTCTCCCTTATCATAGATACTATTATTGTAACTAAAGGGCAGCACCTCAGCTCAGGCACTGCTGGGAACAAGAAGAGGCCACCATGGCTTTGCTCTTTCTGGGGCTGCCAATAACTGTGTCATGTTCACCTTGGCTCCTCAGTGAACTTCCTCAGCTCAGAGATGAGGTGCAGTTGCTCTCTGCAGCGAAAAGAGCAAAGGGGAAGGTGACAGCGCTGATGACTTGTTTTGTTTGTACAGGAATCAACGCTCTTCCCAAAGGAATGTGTCTACATCCATGACCCACAAGGGCTGAACGTCCTGAAGAAGGGGTGCGCCAGGTACTGCAATCAAACCATCACGGTGAGTGTGATGGAAAACCACGTTCCCTCTGACAGGGGCTCAGCTCTGCTCCTCCTCATCCATCGAGGAGAGCTCTGACTCCTTGAGCTGAGAGGGTTGGGTGGGATCTAAAGGAAAGCTGTCCCATGCAAAAACTGTCCCCAGGACCGTCACATGAAGGAGCTACCTGCTTTTTCTTTGCCAGAGAGAACACAGGGTACCAACCTGCTGCAGATGTTAGAAAGCAGCTCAGTTCAACCTGAGTGCAATAAATAAATAAAATAAAGCACCCCTAGTTGTGACCAGCTGAGTTGCAGGAAGCCATGAGGCAAATGGTGCAGAGTTAACTGGGGTGTCCCATCTTCAGCATTTCTCCCAAAAGGAAGCTGAGCACAGGGAAAGTGCTGCAAGCTGTGAAGTGATTGCATCCTGTTTATGAACCATTGTCAGGTGGTTCAGTGAAGTCGCTCTTCGCAAATTTATGGACCTCGTGTTTGCCTGCAGCTCCTGAGCTCTCACAGTGCCAACTGCATGGAATGATTTTGGGGTGTTTCATGGAATACTGCTGTTTGTCTTGTAGTTGTTCTTCCATTAGTGAGTCACGACAAGGTCAGTGATCCAGGACTGCTGCATCCTCCAAAGGAATGCATCCTGGGCTAGGATAAAGAGGGAGTGAGTGGGCCAGTGCTGTTAAAGAATTAAAAGCTCATAGAAAACACGAACCTGATTTGTTAAAGTCAGAGAGAGAGTGCCAAAAATAGTGGTTTGCTCTGAGAAGAACAGTCTGTGAGCAGAAAGCACGGTATTGTTGAAAAATAAGTGCAAGGGGTCCTAGAAACACAGATGCCAAAGGTGGCAGTCCGTTCCAGTCCGTGGCAGAGATGAGGATTTCAGAACTATGAGCACAGGATGGCTCCAGGCAATGCCCATTTAGTCATATCATACCTTACCAATTTTGCTTTTGTTTCAGAAACCTGGATGCTGCAAAGGATTCTTTGGTCCAGACTGCATGCCGTGCCCGGGGGGATTCACCAGTCCGTGCTATGGCCGGGGAAATGTAAGTGTGAAGGATCCCGCTGCCTTGCAATGAGCAGTTCCATCAGTGTGCATTGAGGATGTAGTTGTAGGTAACTACAATTCAGAGTTTGTGGTCCAGGGCTGAACCTGCAGTGGTGGAAGGAAACTGGCACACACTCAATGGGTTTTCATTCTTGAGCCCTAATGTGAATCAGGTCATGGCTGTTGGGGACAGCTCTGGCTATGTGGGATTTTGCATTGCTACCACAACTCTTCGAAGTCCTATTTGTTACTGCAAGCATCAAAGCGCCTTTGATGGATATCAATGTCTTGGCTTTGCCTTTGTTCCCTGAGTTTCAATCATTTTGGTTTCATTTTTGTTTTCCTTCCAGTGCAGCGATGGCATTCAGGGGAATGGCAACTGTCAGTGCTTTGAGGGTTTCAAAGGAACAGCCTGTCACATCTGTGCAAACCCAAACAAGCACGGCGAGAACTGTGATGAAGGTTGGTGACTGATGGAGAAACCAGAGGAGAATGTAGGACAAGGATATAGTGCAGGTTCATGTATCCTGGATTCCCTTCTGGCAAGACCAGTGTCACGAAAGAAGTGATAGAAGTGTCATTATGACTGTCCCTTCAAACAATAGTGGAGAAAATATGTTTGATATGACAGTGGTGATGGGGGGTTTAGAAGCATCAACGAAATTTGGGTATGGGACTTTGATTTAGGTCTCTCCCAAACAAAAGACAATGACCTTGAGCTTGATAGCCTAAATTTGAGCCTGTCCTTACAGCCTGTGAAAAACATGGATCCAGGATCTGTGCCCTGACCAGGTTTTGAGTTATAATGGATGCCTCTCATCAAATGTCACTGTGTCAAAAACAAATGGGATGATAACTGAGGTTGTGAAGGAAAGTTGAGAATCTACACTGTGGTAGATATTGGACTTTTTGCACTTACTAATCTTACTCCGTGTGCTTGACAGACTGTGGCTGTGTCCATGGTGTCTGTGACAACAGACCTGGCAGTGGTGGTGTGTGTCAGTCCTGGTCCTGTAAGGAGGGATATACCGGGAAATTCTGTGACAGGACATCCAAGAATTGTGGCCCGAGCGGGCTGTCCCAGTACTGCCACCAGAACGCTGTCTGCAGCCTCAACGACACAGCCAGGTCAGTCTGTGTGGCAGCACTCTGAGGGGCACTTTGTCTGCACACTGTCACTGTGCAGGCACTCGTGGATCTGTGTGTGTGTGTGTCTGTGTACTCGCCTCACAGGATTGTTTGAGTCACTCAGCCAACCTGATAGAAACCAAGTCAGGCTCTTCCTTCCTTGAGGGGCTCGTTCTGCCTTTGTGCTCTCTGCTGGCTTTCAGAGGGACTGCTCCACCTGTGTCCCTTTTGTGCTTATACTTTTAAGGTGCATCTGCATGGATGGATACGAAGGTGATGGGTTTTCCTGCCAGCCCATCGACCTGTGCAGTCAGCCAGAACGGGGAGGTTGTTCACAGAATGTAAGTGGGGTCAGACCGTGATATGTGGAGAAGCAGGTCCTGTCAATCAGAGCAGGGATCCAGGACTCGTGGGACTGTTACAGACTTTCCTATCTGCTAAACTTCCCTATCTGTAAGATCAGGTGGAATAGCAGGTGCCTTGACAGAGTCATTGCAAAGATGTCAGTCATTTGAGCTGGTGCCAAAATGTGACACTCCAAGGAGAGTTTGGATGGTTTGCACCAGATATTTTGGCAGCTATGGAAATTAGCTGTAAAGATAATTTTTGGTTTGCATTGATATTTCCCTCAAGCTCTTCTAACATGTGTTAACTTCTCTATTGTGGTGTTCAGGCTGTAGCTTAACTGTGAACTCCTACTCATATTTCCAGTAGCCATCAACACTACATTATTATCCTTAGTAAAAAACATGGTGCTTTATGATGACAATTACTGCTAAATGGTCAGACCTCATCATAAATTAGACCCCTCAGCAGGAGGAAGGCAATGGGTCATGTAGAAGAAAATAGGATGTACCACTGGGTACAAAGTAGGTCTTTCCTGAGAGAGATCTGCTCTCCATCATTAATTTCATCCCATATGTCAGGCAGGAGATTGTGGTCCTCCTCTTCAGGAAGTACTTTCTCTGTAATGGAAGAGCTTTACAGGATGATAATGAATGCCCTGGGAGTTCTGAACCTATGCACTAGTGTCTGCATCTCTTAAAACAAAAAATGTTTCCAGAATCACTTTACTGTGAAGTTTTCTATCACTTTTGTGGAGAAGATGCTTCCATCCCTAGTGCTTGAACCAGAGTTGGTCGTTCAGAAATTCTCCACAGTGCAGTGAAGGAGATTTGTTGCTGTATTTTCGCTGCACTCTCTCCCTTCTGCTGAGTGTAATTCTTTCTCTCTCCCCTCTCCCGAAGGCCCTGTGCACCAGTACAGGCCCTGGCACTGCCACCTGCCAGTGCAACGTGGGCTGGACCGGGGATGGCAAGGTGTGTGTGGCCATAGACAACTGCATGCTGGAGAGCAGAGGGAACTGCCACCTCAATGCTGACTGCATCTACATCGGCCCCGGGCAGGTATGAGCGAAGCTGGGCAGTCTGATGGTGACCTAACATTTCCTCAGCTGCTCTGAGATGGCCCCGGGGTTGCCAGAGGTGAAAACTGGGCTGGCCAGCAGCAGAGCTTGCTTGTCTGCTGCCAGAAACACCCGGGGCAGCTGTGGCCTCACAGCGCGCTGGCATGTGAGGTGCATGGGTGTGTTTGGGCATAATGCCCGACTCAGGGTTTTATGCAGCAAAGGGAAGAGGCTGAGCTTATAATCCAGCTTGGTCTAAGGCATCAGTTACTGCACCCCCTGTTCCCACATCACAGCACTGATAAGCACATGGAGCAGGTCAGATGTGGAGGGAGCTGGTCCAGGAGGAAGGCACACAGGAGAGGTGCCTTCCCAGGGTGCTGCTTCTCAAGGTGCTTCTTCTCGCTGGACAAGGGGAGTGTTGGACAACGTGCTGAAAATAGGAACCAAGTCTTTAGCAGATTTTAGTGAGGTGAGATCAAGGGGTCTCTTAGCTATCATGAAAGCAGGAGGCTTTGAAATTAACTCCTTTCCTCTTTCTGCCTTTCACAAAGTCTGTGTCATTGCCTGAAAAATTGGAAATAAAGGTGGAAACCATCATCTTCGAGTGACCCCCACTGCCAAGCAGTGCAAGGGATGAATGCATTTGAGTAACCAGGCAGTGTGTGTGTGCTGTGAGAGAGGATGATGCTCTGCTAAGGAAATACCTCCACATTTCCAGGTCTTGAGGGACCAGGAGGAAAACTTAGGAAAATAAATTAAGTTTTGCTAGCATGGACCTCTGATACATGCTACATGAGGATGCTCTGATAGGTCTATAAAACTGAAATGTCTCTCTCTTGCAGAGCAAGTGTGTCTGCAAGAGGGGTTATGCTGGGGATGGGTACAGCTGTGATGCAATCAACCCCTGCCTCATGGACAACGGCGGCTGCCACGACTTGGTGAGTGGCCCAAGAGCTGTCCTGGGTTTGGCACGGCAGGGGGGGCTCATCTGCTCCCTGGCAGCGGATTTGCAGCCACGGCATTGAGAGAATTGCAAGGTTTTATGTTATGTCACCTTACTGGCATGCCACCAAGGTGCTGTGAAGGTGGATCCTCTGATTTTTGTGAGTTCACACAACCAAAGATATCACACGGGCTTAGCAGCATGAGGTGCACGTTCATTGCCACCATCCAGACAACAGGAAGAAGGTGCCTGTGTGTGCTGCTCTAGCCCAGGCTGTGGAAGGCCAGAATTCAGTTCTGAGATCAGGGTAACACTGCACCACCTGTGTTTGCTCTCTAATATCCCCTTTCCCTGTATTTCCAGGCTACATGTGTGCCCCTTGGTGGAGGAGAGAGATCCTGTGTTTGCTCTGAAGGCTACATGGGGGATGGCATGACGTGCTACGGGGACATTCTAAAAGTGAGTGACAAGCAAATGTCTGAGATCCTTTTGAGGTTGGAGAGAACTGGCTCTGCTCTCACTGTACTTTTCTCTGTTACCTGAGGTGACTCCTTCTCCCAGCACCAACCTGACAGCACAAGTGTATTCCAAGGCCACAGGGACAGAACTGATGCCAAGGCCAATTATTGCCAGTGAAAAAATTGGCAATAATTTCTAAGCTGCCTCACCACTGTGCAGGTTGCACCTGTCCTGTGCAATAAGTCATCTTTTCTTTGTTGTTCAGAAGGTTTTTCAAATCAGAGCTTGCCAGGCCCATTTTCTGTCATTAGAAATATCAAAGGCCACTGTGGATTCAATCCTTGTCCCTGGTAAACATGAGCCATTGCAGATGAGTTGAAAAGAGTTTATTTGGGAATACATATTTAATGGCTGAAATTTGGGTATAGGAGTGCCCATCTCTCCTCACAATACACGGTGCCTGTGATGGCTGTGAAGTGAGAGGAATGTCTAAGTCATTATTGCCAGGTTTGGTATCTCAAGGGGTTCCTTTCCCCCACCCCGGGTCTCCCAGCCCTGCACCCTGTGCTCAGCAGGGGTAACTCTTCTGTTGTTTCTCTTTGGAAGGAGCTGGCCAGGAATTCCCACTTTGCGGGTTTCTACGACTGGGTTAAGGTAAGAGCAACCAGGGGGCACCACACGGGTAAGGTCTGCAGAGGTGAAGTCTCTTAGAGCACCAGCAACTCCATTTATCTCTTTCATTAGAGAAAAACAAAAAAGCGGTGAAGGAGAAATTGTTACAGAGCAGGCACGTAGGAAAGCTGTGGAGTTTGTGGTACACCGAGGGTCATAAGTGTGTTTTGGGGGCCTTGTTTCTAGCACAGGAGGGAGCTGGGGCTGTTTTACACTTCATTTTCGTGGTTGTACCATCTGTAACTCCTGGCCATCAAAAAGAAGCTCAGAAGGGAAAGAAGGGTAGCATGGTAATACTGTTTTTTAGAAGAACATCCTTTGAGAAGTTAGACTGTATGTTTGTACCTTTTCTTGTTACTGTTCCCTATCTCTGGTGTGGGAATGACAGAGACACTCCCCAGACTGCAGCAAGTCTGTGGAAATGCCCTGTGATGGATGGCCCTTAACTGAGCTTTAGCTCACCTGTCCTGCAGCATTCACTGCTTTTTTCAGGAAAGGTCTCTCCCCTAAGAGTGATGTTGAGGGTTCAGAGAGGGTTTATGGCTATGACTGAAGGGGTTTGAAGGGTAACTGCAATACAAAAGTGAGGCTTAAAGCAGTGGGTTTGCCCTTGACAATCATGCCTGGGAGAGCCAGGAGAGCCTGCTGTGCTGCTGAGCACGTGCTGCCTTCCTACACATCCCTTTTGTACGACTGTGAGAGCGGGAGGCTGTTGTTTGTGTTTTGCACTAAAGGCGTGGCAGTGGCATGTCTTATTTGTTCATTTTTGTGCTTTGGACAACAGAAATCTCTCTTCAGCATCCCAGCAGGAACCAATGTCACTGTCCTGGTGCCATCAGAGGCAGCTATCAAGAACTTGAGTGACAGTGAAAAAGATTTCTGGTTGACCCCCTACATGCTGCCATTTTTAGTCAGGTATGAGGAGCTTCCTGCTTTTCATTTACTCTGCCAAACAGCAGTAACAGAGCCACGAACTGGATTTCTGCTTGCACATGACCAATAAGGAGTTATCTCGAGATAAATATAGAAGCAAATTTAAATATCTAGCAGACAAAGCACTTAAAAGGCATTGAAAACACAACAGACCACAAGCCATTGGAAGTGGTTTTTTTTCATGTATTTTCAGAGAGATATTTTTGACACAGATGGCATCAGAACAAGTAATTCCCTCTATTGTTCTCTCCACGTGCTTAATTCATATCAGAGATGTGAATGTTGGGTGGTACAGTCTTATCTCCCTGTTATTACCAACAAACAGTTCCTTAATCTTTTCTTACCTGCCTTTGTTCCCTTCAGGGCCCACTTTCTCGAAGGTGTCTTCACTGCTGAAAAGCTCAAAAAGTACAACAGGCCAGAATTACCCACTCTCAACCCACAGACCAGATGGCAGATAAACACCATGAGCAGTGTAAGGGTTTCTTACATAAGGCTCGTGCACCTATCTCAAATTTAACTGTTCAAGAGCTGCTGTATCCAGTGGGGAGCCTGGATGCTGGTGCCCTCAAACACAGACATCTTTCAAAACCTGTATCCACACTAACCGTGTGCAAGAATTGAAAGAAATTGAAAGAAAAATATATCTCTTTTTTTTTTTTGCACTTACTTGGCAATTTCTAATCTTTTTCCTTCTCCCTCTGGTACTTTTGCAGGTATTAACCATCCAGAATGCAAGTATAGTTGTCAGTGACATCCCTGCCAGCAATGGCATTATCCATATCCTCAGTAAGGTACGACACTGGCAAACACTGCAGTTCTAGCAGCAGGTTTGTGTGGCAGCCTCTGTGGTGGGGCCAAGGAGGAATACACGTCCGGACAGTTAGGAAGGGACATAAAGGCAAAAATATATCAAGTTATCACCAGTCCTGACAGATGTTTCCTGTGCAGCACTGTTTAATGTTTAAAACATTTGTCTCCAGGACAAGCAGGAGGGGAGTTCCCTTCTCCTGGCTGACAGAAGAAGTGTCCAGACTATTGCAGAATTGTGCAAAATGAGGCCTTTTCTAATTGCCTTTCTTGCAAGCAGGGCAGGAATCTGATGTGACTCCCCACAGAGTCCCTTGCCCAGCCGTGCTTTATAAACTCTTTTTTTCCACAGGTTTTGTTGCCGCCCTCAGGAGACGTCCCCCCAAGTCCTCCTGGTCTGCAGGAACAGCTCGAGTCAGTGGCCTCATTCAGCACCTTCAAGGAGTTGCTAGAGGTAAGCAGCTGAGGTGAGCTCTGCTGTCACTGTCAGGACTGTCTTTTGAGCAAATTTCCCACCTTACCCTCCACTGGTGGACCAAAATTTGGACTGCCTGCTGAGGAAAGGGGGATCACCCATTTCCTACCATTCGTGAGGAATCTTCCAGGAAAGCTCTTCGAGCAGCCAAGAAGGTGTGTAATTACAGTTAGATCTCTAGATTACTGGCACATATTGCAATGGAAGATGACCTGTCTACTGCAGGTGCTCTCATGCCTGTACAGGGCAGAGAAGCCTGGAGGAAAGGGAAGGCTTGTTCAGAGATGAGAAGGTGCACTTAAGTCAACCAGGATGAGGAGCAAGCAATCAGATGTGTGTGACTGAGCAGAAGTTCTATATTCCACTTTCAAGCATTTCCTCTTGGCTTTGCAATTGATTTCATGTGCGGTTTGGTTTTTAGTGAGAATAAGAATAATAACTAATGTTCCTGTGTGGACATTTTTTTAGCAATACCAGCTCACTGGGAAGATCAAGTCCTCTGAAAAATACACCATTTTTGTTCCTGGAAATAATTCCATTGAGGAGTACTGCCGTGCTGCCAATGTGACCCAGCTGGTAAGCTCACTGCCTGCTTGCAGTCTGAATATGTACACTGATTCACCATGGAGAGAAGACACACATCTGATGCTAAAAGCTGGGAGAAACGTGGCACAGAAATGAGAGCATCTCCTGGGGTGTTGCAATGGGATCTGAGAAGAATATTAAGACTCAAGTGCTGATTAGTATGTGGACAGGTGACACAATATATTCCCTTTCCTGGCTGGCTGTGGCACATCTGTGACAATTTTCAGACTTCTGGAAGGTTCTAAAAAACATTTAAGTCTTCATCAAGTAAGATAATTATTGTGTGATCAGTCACCTGAGGTAGAGTTACTAGGCTCTGTGGGCTTAACTAGCTGTCCCAGAGGCTTAGGAACATTTCTTACGCCTTACCTCTGACTGAGCTGCAGGGAGGAAGTCAAAATAGTCCTAACATTTGTATTTTTGTGGATTTAGGACAACGCGACAGTGCAGTACCACGTTGTACTGGGAGAAAAGCTCTTGCCCACAGACCTGAGAAGTGGAGTTCATAAGAACAGCATGTTGGGGCTCTCCTACTGGCTCATGTTTTACCAGAACAGCACCCAGGTAAGGGAGGCAGATTGTTCTGCCACTTGAGGATCTGGCTTGACCTATCACTTCCTAAAGCTGGGGCTGGATACACCCATTTCTGTTTTCCACACTCTGGCAAGTTTACTGCTGTGACCGTCTGACAGTTGCCAAGCAATCCCTGTAAAAGGAGTTTTCTTCTTGCTGTTTTCTTCTGCTTTGCAGAAGTTTGTCAATAATATTCCTTTGGATGGAAAATTCTTCGAGACCAAGAACGGAATGCTGGTGGGGGTGTCGCAGGTGCTCCAGATACAGAAGAATCGTTGCACTGCCAACACCACCACCATACAAAAGGTAATGATGGTGACCAAGGAGCTGACCACCACTTGGCAGGGCTTCTCCACCTGCTGAACCAAACTGATGGGTAACAGGCAACCTACCTTGTCTCTCCTCGTGGATGAGACAGTAGTTTGTGGTCTGACCCCAGATGAACCTCATGTGAAATGGGGCATCCTGGAGACTCAGATTCTGTACTTCTAATGGAACAGATCTGCAGCTCTTGTGCACATCACATTCAGTTCCCTTGCTGGGGCTCTCTCAGAGTGCCAGCCTTGGTGCAGGCTGATGCAGGGACTCCCAGCCTTGCAGGAAGGACCTCCAGGCCTAAAGAAAGCCCTCCCCAGCTCAGAGACTCAGGAAAGGTGTAGCATGTGGTCTCTTCTTTTGGTGGTTTGAACCATGGAGTTAAATACACCTTTGTCCCAGCCAGCAGCCTGTACAGCACCATTTGTGCTGTAGTTCAGGATTAGTGTCTTGGTGTGACGTGGGCAGAGGGCACACATGTGACTTGTCCTGTTCTCTGTGCCCTAGTCAAGGTGCGGCAAGTGTGAGAAGGGGATCAAGTGTCCTCCTGGATCAGTTCTTGTGGTGAGTCTTTGATTCATGTGATAGTTCAAAGACAATTTGCAGATAGTGCTTTGATGTCCTTTTATTGCTCTATAGATGATATCTTGAAAAAAATGTGCCTTGAGTCCTCTGTGGCTCATCCATTACCAGGGTTTGTAAGAGAAAGCAGAAACCAAGGGAGGGTTACAGAGGAAAAACATGGACATGGATCAAAAGGCTCTGTACAGAGCTTTGCCTGAATTTTAGGAGCCCTTTAGTTTCCCCACTTAGCAGGGAAGAAAAGATGTCTTTTTTTTTTTTTCCCTCTTTCACTCTTTCCACATCACCATCAAGGAAAGCCAGTTTAGAGGTGCCAGCAGCAATTTCCCTGCCTGAACCATTGGTTTCTTCACACAGATGGGCTGGTTGTGCCTGTAGCTTGTTTGTGAGTGACAAACATTTCCAGAGAGGAAAATAACTAAGCATCTCATCTCCATGCTGGCTGCTAATTGCCTAACACCTACATCTGCCTTCTTAGGCTTCACTGCTTTACTCTATGCACAAAATTTTCCAATTCTTTTTTCTCATTATTCAGACTGACATGTGTAGCAAGGATTTGGCAGGTGGCAGAATTGACTCTGTGTGGTGACCTCACACCCAGAGATGCCTCATTGGTCTCAGCTCCGGATAGCCCAAATGTTTAGGGCTGTTCCTGTAGGAAACAAAACAAGAACACTGTCATATGAACCAAAACCTATACTGTTTGTCTACATATTGTAATACCTTCTTGTCTGTGTGTTAATTATACCCTCAGGAACCACCAGGGAGCAAGAACCTCGCTCGCTGCGAGCTGCGCTCTGGGGATGCAGGAATACTTGGCTGCCATTTCACCTGTGCAAAAGTTTCTCTGGTGAGAAAAACATTTGCCTCTGATTCATTTTGACAAAAGTGAGGTGGGTATCAGCAGTGCAGCTGTGGAAGTACAGGCTGTGCTGAAGTCCTGGCTGCGTCTGTGCCAAGGCATAACTGAGGCTGGGCTTGTCTGGGAGTCGCTCTCCATCCTGGAGATGGAGGGCACTGGAGCAAAACCAGACCTGCAGGAATGTCTGCACAGTGATGGATTGTGATCTGCTGCTTTGGTATTGTTGCTCTGGGTTTTGTCCTGCAGAGGAAGAGAAGGAGTTGAATGTTTGTAGTCTGGTTTCCTAAGGAAGTGAGGCATAAATGATGGTATTTTCCTTGTGCATGTGCTTTCCTGAATAACTGATGACTAATTGGAGCTGAATCAAAGGGAGGAGCAGAAGGTCTTGCACCTTGTATTAATTGACAGCCCCTACCAGTTTTGTGAAAGTGTGTGTCTGGGATAAACACTAGTAAAGGAAATGGTAAAAGAAAGACTTGCATGAATTTGAGGTCTTAAAGGTATTGCAGCATCTCCCAGGTGAGTTTAGTGGGAGTGGGAGATTGAAGAGAAGGAAGAGAGGGAATTGGACATACAGTACTCCCAGGGAGAGCTTCAGTCAGCACTTGTACCTCACTGGGCACTTCTGCATCCCTTCATTAGATGTTTCTTTTCATCTGTACTTGGTCCCATCACGGTTTCTTCCCTCCAGATGCAGAAAGAAGTGAGAGCAGTCAATGTAGGCTTTGGAACCAAATCAGCTTCTCTCTGCCCTACAGAAAGACATAGTGGGGACACAGGAAGGAAATGGGCTGGAGGGGCACAGGCCTAAACATCTGAGTTACTCACCAAAAGGGCCAGTGTTGCTCAAGGGCCATGCAGACCTTCACACGAAGCTCTGCGCAACAGAACACCCTGTTTTGGGGTGTTCACTCCATCCTCCCTGTGCACACACCTGGCTCTTTCATGTACTGTCTGAAATTATGGCTACTGCACAGTTAAAGGAATAGAGCAGCTTCCCCAGTAAAGCTGTACCTTGTCTGTGCTGCACAGGATGGCTCATCCCAACTTGTTCTTGTTGGTTTTCCAGAGGTCCGTCTGCTGCCCCGGCTACTACGGACACATGTGCGAGATGTGCCCAGGGAAGCCAGGCCAGTGGTGCTCTGGGAACGGGGAATGCCAGGATGGCATCCAGGGCAGCGGAGAGTGCCGGTGCTTGGAGGGTTTCCACGGCACTGCCTGTGAAATGTGTGAAGTGGGACGATACGGGGCTGACTGCAAATCAGGTGACACCAATGGCTACTGCAGCTTGTCTTGAATGTCCTGCTTGCAAAGGGAGAGAAGTGATCACATCTCAGCTCTTGGGAGGGGTGGTGGGAAGGGAGAAACATCTCAAAATCTCTGAGACAGGCAAATGGCTGGCAGGTCATGAGAGTGAGTGAGTGAGTGAGCAAGTGAGCAAGCAAGCTAGAGGTGATGAGCCAGAGGAGTGGCCCCATTTTTCATCCTCAAGCCAAAGCATGTGCTATGCTGTGCTGCTCATCCTGTTGCCACCCAAAACCAGGATGTTTCTCTACAGAAAGTAGAGGTGACTGGTCTATTCCTGGGCTTTTCAGCCTGGCAGTGAGGGAGCAGGAGCTGATACTCCTGTGACGTTTTCTTTATGGCACTTGGATGAGTTGGATTAGGAACAGAGCAGCCAGCAAAATGGCAGCAGGTCTCTCTGCTTGCGGGAGCTGGTTGGTTCGACAGTGCTGAGTGTTTGTATTTCCCCTGCAGAATGTGCCTGTGACAATGGGATATGTAACGATGGACTGCAAGGGGACGGGAGCTGTGACTGCTTCCCAGGGTGGAAAGGCCCCACCTGCCAAGAGAGTACGTGAGTGTGAGGGGACCTGTGGTGTAACATTGTCTTTTTAGCACAGAAATCTGTGTGATCCTCTTTAGCTGCCAGAGGAATTCTGTGTTAGCTGAGCAAGGTGACCACAGTCACGTTTTCATCCTCCTGAAACGTGCTCACTCATTCCCAGGCAGAAGCTGCATTTCAGCCAGATTTAGTTGACCGTGATTCCTGTTACTTACCTAAAAAGATGGCAGGACTTCATTTGAACTTTCAAAGGGCCACAGTGTGTCTGCAGAGCTGCTTTTTCTGCTCACAGATCTATTCATTTAGGTGAACTCAGGCTGTAGTTTGCCATTATCAATAAATCTCTCGTGTGTCAAAATAACATGTTGAGGATGGACTTGGGATTTTGGGTGGAGAGAAACCTGGACTTCTAAATACTTTGGCATTTTAAAGGTTTGCACACAAAGACTTATTTTATAGTGAAGTCAAATGTTTTGGGGGCATTTAGAAATAGAAACTGAGTGGAGCTGTCCTATCTATTGTAAATGTAAAGCATGAAAATAGTTCATCTTTTGCTTCAAAAGGACCAAAGCCAAATGGCTCTGTATGTCTGGATTAGTTAGAGATTTCAGTCCTTGTTTCATTCCTAGTAGTGTGGAGGACTTTTGCAGGGTCCTTTTCTCAAACTGGCAGAAATGGCCCCAACAAGTGCTGAACTGAAAATGCCAAGTCAGGTTTGTGTCTTCTCTCCCAGGAATCAAGACTGACCTGTGCAATAACACCTGCCATCAAATGGCCAGGTAAGTGCACACAAGGGGCTGAGTCATCCATGTCTGTTTGTAAGTGTTTTACTCAGAGGTGATTCTGTGTTTGGGCCTTTGCAGAGGTGTGGGAGAAGGTGCTTACTCATTAAAAATGCGTAAATATTAGTTCCATTCTGGAAACTAATGGTGCTGAACTGCATCCATTTTCCCCAAGGATTTTGTCTGTCTGAGCATATTCATTCCAAGTCCCTTCTGCATGTGTGGATGGCCTGGATGCCAGGTCCTGGCCAGCATGACTTGAGTGTTTGGTGCTGTAAAGAAATCCACAGCATGTTCCTCCTGTGGTCACTGTGGTCTCTGCACATGCCAGACTTGTTTCCCTCTGGCTGAGCAAATCAGGAGGTGCCTTCAGTGATTGTTTATCCCTTTCTTGTTTCAGCTGCCTCAATAGTTCCACAGATTCCCTACCTATGTGCTTCTGCTCTGCTGGATACACAGGGAATGGGACCCATTGCACAGGTATGTCCACCAAGGACAGGGTGAAATGAATGGTGGGATGTTGCCAGAGGAAAGGTCACTCAAATCCTCTTCCTCTCAGTCATCCACCATGAGCTTTGCCAGGCTTTGGTAGAGAAGTTTTCCAGTCCAGAGCTTTACACAGGATGCTCTTGGTGTTGCTAAAGCCTGCAAGAGGGGGATAAAAAGGCAGGCAAGTGTAGGAGGGCAATTCTTATTGCCTGTGGAGAGAGATGCACGTGAACGGGTTGTATTTGTTCTGATCTTACAGCAATGGTGGCAAATATATAACAATTTTGACCATGAATCCCTGGAATATGAGTGTTTCAATTCCCTAGAACTTTATTCTTCTGTTTGCTGGCCATGCCAAAACCAGGTAGAAGCAGTGCAGCAGTTGTGCCAAAATGAGGTAGAAATTTGGGATACCACTCCAGAGCTACATTACAAACCTGATCTACATCAAAAGCAAACAGACCAGGAAAAAACAAGTGATCATTCTGGCACAGTTGATCATTCCCAGGTGCTCTGAACTGATTCTTCTTCTCCTGTTTGTGGTCCCAGAAATAGACCCCTGCACTATGGACCATGGTGGCTGCTCCGTGCACGCCGTGTGCACCAAAGTGTCCCCAGGAGAGAGGACCTGTGTCTGTAAGGATGGCTACGCTGGGGACGGGACACTCTGCCTGGGTGAGTGCTCTGTGAGTGCTCTGGGGATAGCAGAGGTCGAGGGTAAGCTCACACAGCGGTGCTCTGAGATGAAGGTGGAGCTGGAGGAGAGTCCAGCCCTCTCATGTCCTTCAAAGCACACCCAGACAGGCATGGAATTTTCTGTGGGCACATTTACCACAGTTTAGAGACCCACATGCAGCAGCAGTAGAACTTGCAGTTGCAGCCCATTCCTTTGCTCCCACAAGACAGTTTCCCAGGAAAGTGTTTCCCAAGGTGGAAAGGTTCTCCCTGTTGCTTTCCCAATACCTCTTTGGATCACCAGGTCCCAGCTACCTTGAGCAATAATTTATATAATTTATTATTAATGTAATTTATTGGTTTGCTGCAGAAATTGATCTCTGTCTCGAAAGCAATGGGGGCTGCCACACCAACGCTGAGTGCATCAAAACAGGCCCAAAGAAGGTGAGTATGTAGGATGCATATATAGGGCAGCATTATTAGAGACAGTCCTGTCCCTTGCAGTACCCTGCTTTGTGCTTTGCTACCTTCCACACAGAGAAGTTGCCTGGGAAGAGCATGAGAAGATGGCTGTTTCCATGAAAGCAGATGGCTTTGTCGGCCAGAGGCTGGAGGCAGTCTGGGGTTGTATTTGTTCTGGACACAAGTGTGATTATCCATGAATGCAGCAATGGGTGTTACACCACATGCTTTCCATCCAGTGCAGCCATTGTGTGTTTTCTTTACTGTGTCCAGGTTTCAGACTGAGGATCTGTTCTCCCTCCAGGTTGCCTGCAACTGCCTTCCTGGTTACAGTGGGGATGGTGTGAGCCAGTGCAACCCCATAAACCTGTGTGAACAGGTATGTCTGCATTGTGATGCTACCAGAGGTGAAGGCCACAGCCTTGAGGTGTTCCTTTCTCCCAGTAGTTAACAGCAAGAGCAGCATTAGCCTGGTTGTTTAGAGCTGCCTGTCCTGCCTTCCCACATTCTGGAGGGACTTCCTTGTGTATGTGGTTTCCATTGCCTCTCACACTGACCTGGGAGTACGTCGGTCACCTGGCACTCCCTCAGTGTGGAAAGAGTGACACAGGGTTGGAGACAGGTGGCTTTTTACTCTCTGCCTGTTTTGTGTGGGCTTTGCCCCAAAGCTTCAGAGTAATCTGTGCTCACAGCATCGCTCAGTGTCCCTCTGAATCAGGGGGTTTGTCATCACTTTGGGTTCCAAACTGAAGTGAGAAAGTCTTGCTTCATGGTTTGGTGCTGGAAAGCCCTTGAGGGTTTGGGTGAGGTTTATTCTAAGGCACTAAAGAGGGGGGAGGATGAATGGTTTGCAGATCCCACATGGGAGCTCCCACAGGCCATTCAGATTGTCGGGGATGCCCCTCCATGGAGACCTTTTGCTTTCCCTGGCAGAACAATGGAGGCTGCAGCCCCTTCGGGCTCTGCAAGTACACGGGGCCAGGCACTCGGAACTGCTCCTGCTCCTGGCACAGCGTTGGAGATGGCTTCACCTGCCGTGGCAAAGTGCATCAGGTGAGAGGCATGTGCAGCACCTCCTGTGTCCCTGTCCCCTGCCCTGCAGCAAACCACTCCCTGCCCTCCCAGGTGTAAGGTGCAGGTGAGTTGAGCTCAGTGTCACATCAACACATGTGGTGTAGGAGTGGAAACAGATGCTTTGAGACAAACTCTCCATAAAGCATAGGTGTGTTTGATGTGCCAGCTGTGGGAGAAAATCACAGTAAAATTACTTTGTTCCAAAGGGATCTGTGCTGGGAACATCCTGCTGCTGTCAGCAACACTGGCCATACCTCCAGGGGCTGTTTTCTTCATGTTTTAGGCAAATGGGAGTGATTTTGTTTTTTCCCAAAGCAATTCACTTCTGCCCAGTGGGATGAGGGCAGGTGTCCCCTGTGGGGCCAGGACTTGGGATCCAGTCTGGAGGGCAGCAGTCTGTGTCCAGTTCTGTTGCCAGTACAGTGACTGTGCTTGGGCAAGCAGGTGTCCTTTCCATCCATGACACCTGTGCCTACAGTGCTGGTGAGGGAGGGAGGGAAGATCACTATGGTGTGTCAGGAGAACTGGTGCCTCACAAGGGTGGGAGAGTGACCTGGGGTGGAAGGAACAGGTCACTGTGGTGGCTGGTGAGGAGCACAGTGCTAACACCAGCTGATTCTCTTTGTTTAAGGAGCTTGGAAGGATTCCAGACTCATCTGTGTTCTTTAGGATGATACAGGTTGGTAACAAACAGCCTTGTCCTTGTCTCTGTGCAGTAAATCCCATTTTTCTGCAGAGTCTTACTAACTGGAACCCTGTTTTCCCTCCCCACAAATGCTCTTCTAACACAGGCAGAAAGCATCAAAGAACTCAGTGGGGCAGGGCCTTTCACTGTCTTCGTCCCACGCACAGATTTCATAGGAAACACTACAACAGTAAGTGTCCCCCCATCCCAAGCTCTGGCAGCTGTTTGACAGCTCCAGTTGTGGCAATGTCCCCTCTGGGCTCCTGTATGTCCAATAAAGGAACAACTCCCAAAGATCACATATCCCAGACGTATCTTCCTCGAGGAAAATGTGGTCATTTGTCCTTCCTCAGAGGACCTAAATGCTGCTTTTGTCAACCTGGTTGAAATTCCTCAAAGCTCTAAACTGTTTTGTGCATTCCCTGTGTTTTGGAGGGACTGGCTTTCCTGCAGGGATGAGTCAGAGGGGCCTTGGGCAATCCAGGTCTCCCTCATCGGGGCTGGGGGCCCTGCATGCAAGGCAAAGTGCCCCAGTGTGATCTCTGTTTTCTGTCTGGAGTTTGAGGAGTGGAAGAGCAGAGGTCTCCTCCGGGACCTTCTTCGCTACCACATGGTGGGTTGCCAGAAATTGCTCTCCAGTGACCTGGAAGCCCAGGAGTCCCTCACGTCTTTATCTGGTCACAAAATAAAGATCACAGTGAACGAGGTAATTCCCTTCCCTGTCCCACCTGTCAGGATGTCCCTTCTGCTGTCATTTGAAGCCACTGTGGTTGTGGCAAGTGCCTTGCCCAGGGCCCACAGAGGGCTCAGAGGGCAGTGCCGTGGCTGTGAATGCCCCATCATGTCCCCTCTCCCCCAGAATAGCATCTTTCTCAACGGGGAAGCCAAGGTGGTCACGAGTGACATCATCGGCATGAATGGGGTCATCCATTTCATCAACCAGATCCTCATTCCAAGTGACCTGGTGGGCCGTAACGTCTCCTCCAAGCTCTCACAGGTGAGGCTGAAGGCAGGACTGTGCCCCAGTGTCAGGGCTGTGGTGAGGGCAGGGCCAGGATCTCTCTCCCAGCAGCGCTGCCTCAGCACAGGGCTGTGTGGGCTGCTCTTCTTCCCTGTTCCTGACTGTGGAGGGGTTGTCTGAGGGCACGGATTTGGCTTGTGAAGGTGACAGCATTTGTGGCATAGCCATATTTGGAACAGAAGGAGCCTCATCCATCACTAGGGAACAACAGTACTGGATGTAGGTGGGGAGATGTGTCCCATGCCAACCATCACAGTTTTTTCCAGCGCAGAGCAGATTGCAGCGTGAGATTGCCAATGCCTCTCTGGTAATCCTCAAGCAGGCAGTAGGAGCTTATAGATCCTGCATTATACAGAAGATAACATTTTCTGTACAGCACAACAGGGTGCTGGAATTCATCCCATCTCCTGCCATAGCAGCGTCTGTCCAGGATGAATCAGAGAAGCAGGGGCTGCCAAATGCCATCCCTTTCCAGGCCAAATCATCAGCATGATGGTGACAGAGATAAACTTGTGTTTAGCTGCTGCAGTTGTTCACTGTGTTGCTGGTACTGGAGGGGGAACCCTCAGTGACATTGCTTGCTCTCCTCCCTCTGCAGCAGAACATCACGGAGGTGGCGGAGGCCTTTGGGTACAGCATTTACAGCAAGCTGCTGCAGGTGAGTGACCTCACCCGGTCCCCTCTGGGGGGAGGTGGTTTAGTGCACCTGCACGTTCAGTTTTGGGGCTTGTGGCTTTTCCTTTGTGTCCCCTGTTGCCTCGGACAGGACGCGGAGCTGCTGCCCCTGATCAGCGACCCCCTGCACAGGCCCTTCACGCTGCTGTGGCCCACGGACGCCGCCTTCGCCGCCCTCCCCGAGGACAGGCAGAAGTACCTGTACCGCAGGGAGCACCGTGACGTGCTGGCCTCCTACCTCAAGGCACACATGATCAGGGACACCAAGGTAAACGTGAGGCCACATGTGGCACCACTGTCCACCTGTGGTGAAGTCAGAGTGACCTTGCCAAATTATTGCTGCTGTGGAACACACAGCACATCAGCTGTCTAGGGAAGACCCAAAGCTGTTTGAGCATTTGAGGCAACTACAGCTTCATCATAAGCTTCTGAGATGAAACCTTCTGTCATCAGCTTCTGTGGGAGACCACATCACTGCTAGTGTCAATGCAAGGCTCACAAACAGGCTCTTGTCTACAGGGGTGATAAACGAGGGAAAAGTCCAGCTGAGAAAAATCAGGGCCTGCTTTCACACACCAGACTCTCATGTTCAGGAATCTGGCACTAACCCAGCATAGTAGTGCTGTGCCACTCACACCAGCTTCATGTACTGCCACGTCACACCCCTCTGAGTGTGGCTGCTGACCCCTGTCCTCACCAGGCAGCATCCCATTAGTATGAACTGCCAGGTTTGTCTGCCTCTCCCTTCACATTCTTCTCATTTCCCTTAGATTGTTGCTGGTAACGTGCCCCAAGTTGAAACCATACGGACCATGCACGGCTCCACCATCTCGTTCAGCTGCAGCAAAACCCACGTGGTGAGTGTTGTTTGGGCTCAGCTTCCACGGATCAGGCATCCCTGGGAATGGCCAGGAGCCAGCGGTGCTTCTGGCAGGATCTGAACACAGAGTTGGGGTGCTTGCAGGCAGCTGAGCTGTAGAGAGGCTCAAGATGTTGTGTCCAGCTCAGGGAGGTGTGGGGGGTGTGGCACCTGCACACACACGTCACGATGGCCTGGTTGCAAAGCCACCCCTGTGGTGCCACAGCCTTGGCACGTGCTGGACAGAGGCCATCCTTAGGAGAAGGGGCCATGGAAAGTGTTATTCAGGAAGGGTGGTCCAAAAAGCAAGCACAGAGATTTTGGAGAGTTCTTAGGGTGATTAAGAAATCATGGCAGTCAAAAATGGGCAACTTTTGGGTGGTGCAGCCAGGATGTAAGATGTGCTGAAATCGCATGTTGCTTTCTTCCTCTGTTAGGGGGAGATTCTGGTGGGGAACGGTGATGCCACCATCATCCAGAGGCACATGGAATTCAATGGGGGCATCGCTCATGGCATTGATAGACTGTTGGAGCCGCCAGATCTGGGATCTCGGTGTGATAAGTTCAGCCTTGTTGAGCTACAGGTAAGCACTTGTAATGGGCTCAGTGAGGATCTGTGCCACCCATACAGTGCCATGCTGGGACTGGGGATGTCAGGAGGGTTTGCTGCTCTTCCTTGGCAAAGCTCTGAGCAGCCAAGAGAGGCAGCAGCATGTGCTGAGTTGTTGTGAGGTTTCTTTCTCCCCTCCACAGGGATCTATAGAGAGCTGTGGACTCTGTGGCTTCGAGCCACCCTGCCCTGCTGGCTCCGTTCAACGGGTAAAGTTCACAGCTTTGTCACCAAGGAGGCCTGTGGGGGGACTGATGGCAATACTCACGTGCCCCGCATGTTTTAGCAGCAATGTGAAAGCCCATCTGCCTGTGGCAAGTCCCTGGCATTGTCCATGCCCTGCCCCAAAGCACACAGTCCCATAGGGCAAGAGCTGGGCTGAGAAATACGGGGTCAGGGGCTCCAGTGGTCTTTGCTTGGTCAGCCCCTGTGTGGGTGACAGTGGCACAGGGGGTCCCTCCAGCAGCACTGGAGGTGGCTCTGGGTGCTTTAAAGCAAAAGAGCTCAGCCTGGCCACTGGTGGTGGATCAGGGATCCCATGGAGAGCAGCCTTGGGAGGCAATGGTTGTACCCCATTCTCACTGTGGGCTTCTGGCACATCCCTGAGGTTCACCTGTGGCTCCTCTGTCACCAGCCCCATTGCATGCTAGGAAGCCTCTGTCACTTGTCATAAAACTGAATGAGTGGCACAAGAAAAGTCAAGGTGAGTTATCAGTGACCAATGTGGCAAACTCTGTGTTTGCCTGTTCCCTCACAGGGGGACATCAAGCGCTGCTACTATTACGGAAACCACCTGCTGAGGAACACGCTCCTGCTCCACCGCAACTCCCTGCTGCGGCCGTCGTGGCCACCACACTCCCCGTGGGACCCCTTCAGGAGACACTTCTCTTCCAGGGGGCCTCTGAGACGAGGCTGCAGGAGGAGCTGCGTTTCCAGCCAGTGGATCCCACAGTGCTGTGCCAACCACTACGGCCGAGACTGTCGGGGTAAGAGACACACAACCTTTTCCCAGCCAGTCCCTTTTTCCTGTGGGAAGGTGGAGTTACTGGTTCAGCACGGACATTTTGCATCCGTGAATGTCCTTCCCTGGAGAAGGGAGCGCAAAACCCCAGGCAGGGAGCCCAAAACCCCAGGCAGGGAGCCCCAGCCTGTAGAGGGTGTAGGGAACAATCCCCCAGGAGTGTGTGTGGACTAGCATAACTAACATAACTAACATTCCCTTTCCTTGGAGAGCCTCTTGACCCCATGGAGAGCCCTGGGTACTGCCAGGGGGTGGCTGTCAGACATGCCACTCACCCCTAGGTGTTGCCAATGCTCAGCCATGCCCTGGTGCCTGCACAGGCAGTTTGCACATCCTTGGATGAGTCTGCTGCCAGGTTAGCATGGGATGCAGACCCAACACGTTGCAGCAGAGGGTCTGGAAGCCATGCCAAATTTGACCCTTTTGCCCCCATTCCCAAGGTTTGCTGTCATGGGATGTCCCCAGTACTCAATCCCAAGACTGCCTGAGCTGTCTGTGGTCTGAGCACCCCCGTAAGCGGCAGCTCAGGTGTGCAGGCTCAGGGTCAGCTGTCAGCTCAGGGTCCCTTTGTCACCTCAGCCTCACTAAGGTACCCCCTTTGCAGTGTGCCCAGGGGGGCTGGAGGCGCCGTGCAACAACCGTGGGACCTGCGATGACAAGATTGGCGGCTCGGGGAGGTGCAACTGCAGCGAGGCCTTCATCGGGACCAGCTGCGAGCTGTGCGCGCCCGGCAGATACGGCCCCCAGTGCCGAGGTACGGGCTGGGGGCTGCAGCACGTGGGGCTGCTTGGAGACAGGGTGGGTGCTGGGCTGACCCCCTTGCAGCTGACAGCATGGGAATCAGAGCCGCCACAGTGCTCAGGTCAGGCCTCTGGGGCTGGGGACATCCCTCCCCAGGGTCTTGCCAGACAGATATTGATCCAGTTGGACAAGACTGGGTGGCCCGTGCTGGGAGCTGTGGCCAGTGCAGCCATGCTGGCAATGGCCTCAAATCTGTGATGAGGCCACAGGATCAACCACAGCTGAGAACCCAGGCTGGCAGAAAGCATTCAGATGTATTTTGAGCTGGAGGACCCATAAGTTGTGATGGACCCTGTACAGGAAGAGCATCTCCTGGGATGTGCTCAACAGGGGCCTGTGCCCATGTGGGACAAAAGCCAAGGGAAGGAAAAGAGAGTCCTCTATCCTCCCATCCTAAACTGGCCCTTAAAAGGTCTCCAGGACTGTTTTTGGCAGCTGAATGTTTGCAGGGATTCAGTGAGGAAATTCATTTCCAGAAATGCCCAGAAGAGGAGTGATGGGTGTTGTGGATGCAAAGGCTTTCCCTCTTCTGTGAAGGGCAGTGACAGAAGGGCTATGTGTGCTGCCATGCCCACCTTCATACCTGCCCACACATGCCACCAAGGCAGGTGCCATGACAGGGTGTTCATCCCCTCCTCACAGAGTGTAACTGCACTGAGCACGGCGTGTGCAATGCGGGGCTGCACGGGGACGGCTTCTGCTTCTGTACCGAGGGCTGGACTGGAGACCGCTGTGAAATCAGAACAGGTGAGGGATGCCAAGCCCCACCACCCGCTATTCCCTGGGTCCTGCTGCCATATGGCTGCTTTGCCAGTAGCTGGATAGTTCAAGCAGCAGATCAGAAATATCTCTAAAAAGGAGCTCTCAGCTGTGAGGCTCGTCCTGAGATCTGCTGAATTTCACAAGGGGTGGGGTGGTGAGGAAGAGGAGGAGGAGGAAAGGTTCACTGGAACATGAACAAGTCCCTGAGCTCAGAGGTGCTCCAAAAAGAGTTTGAGCCTGAGGTGAAGGCCTGAGGTGCATCTGATGGAGTAACAGCCCTGTGTGTTTGGGCAAGGCATCTGCAGAAGAGAACAGGGGGGAGGAAGGAAGGTGGGAGCGTGGGGCAGGTGGCCTGGGGCAGGTGGCGACGGCAGCCGCGCCCATGTCACAGCCCTTAGATCATCCTGACCCGTGTGTGCTCTGGTTTCAGTGGTGACCCCCACGTGCTCCCCACCGTGCCACCCCCAGGCCGTCTGCCGTGCCGGCAACCTCTGCGAGTGCGACCTGCACTACGAGGGGGACGGGAGAGTGTGCTCAGGTACAGGGGCTGGAAGGGGAGCGGGCGGGGCAGTCGGACCGACCCCCATGAGGCGTTGTAGTTAACCCAACACTTTCCCCCCGGCAGTGATCGACATGTGCAGCCAGGACAACGGGGGGTGTGCCCGGCACGCCCAGTGCTCCCAGCTGGGCGTGAACGTCTCCTGCGCCTGCGATCCCGGCTACAGCGGCGACGGCTTCGTGTGCGACCCCATCGACAGGTGTGCGGACGGCAGGAACGGGGACTGCAGCCAGCACGCCTCCTGCATCAGCACCGGCCCGGTGAGTGTCTCCCCTGAGCTGGGGAGATCTGCTCGCCATCCCTGGGATGCTTCAGGCTGCTGGAGGACACTGATGTGACAGTGTCCCCCCTACTACAGCCCCCTGCCCCTCCTGCAGGTCTTCACCACCACACCATGCCCTTGGTCTGCTGCCTGGCTGCGGGAATGGTCCTGGGGGTGTTTGCTGAGGCCATTTGTCCCCATTCCTGTGTCTAAGGGGTATAAGATGCATCAGTTGTGGCATTCCTGGGCTGTTTTGGGGCTTTTGGGATGGTCCTTCAAGGACAGTGCTGGCCATTTTTGCAGAGGAACCCTGCAGGCCAGAAGATGGGACTTGGGACCATGATGTAGTGCAAGAATCATGAGCCACATACCTCAAAGCTCAGCTCAAACAGCGTGACAAGGAGACAGTGTGACATTTTTTGGGTGTGGGGGTAGGACAGAGGCCATGTGGCCTTTCATAGCTCTGTCAGAGTCGTGTTAGGCTGTAGAGGCATTCTGAAGGCTCATCCCCGTGTTCACAGGGATACCAGGATCCCCAGCTGGCATCTGTGTTTGCACTCACACAAATGCCACCCTCCCTTTGTGCTGCAGAACGAGCGGCGCTGCGAGTGCAAGCCGGGCTATGTGGGAGACGGGATCCAGTGCCTGGAAGAGGTTGTGCCCCCCACAGACCGGTGCCTGGAGGACAACGGGCAGTGCCATCGGGAGGCCATCTGCACTGACCTGCACTTCCATGGTGAGTGTGCTCACTCCCACAGTGCCAGGGATATGGTGTTCCATGGGGAGGTCATGCTCCATCATCCTTCACCTTCTGGCCAGGGCACCCCTGGGGAGAGCTGGAGGGTGGGATGGACAAGGGGACGGGGACTCGTCTCTGTAGCTTGATCTGGCTTTCACATTCCCCCTTTCCCTACGTGTCACACGGGGAGGACAAACCATCCTTGTCTGCTCCTGTGTGATGTGAGATGGCCTCTGAGGGGTTACACTGCCGGGAAGCACCAACTCCATTGAGAAGAGCAAAAAGCTCAGGGGAAGCTTCTCCCTCACTTGTGCCTTGGCCACATCCCACCCTTGGCCAGCAGAGCTCCCTGTGCTCACACACAGACCACGTGGCTGCCCGTGGAAGGGGCTCAGTCTGTGCTGTGCTGATGCTCCTGGGCCTTGGTGTTTTGCAGATAAGACCATGGGCGTGTTTCACCTGCAGTCACCCCGGAAAAAGTACGACTTCACTTACGAGCAGGCTCAGGAGGCCTGTGCTGCAGAAGGCGCTTCCCTGGCCACGTTCCAGCAGCTGTCGGCAGCACAGCAGGTCAGGGCAGGGCTGGCTCTGTTGCCTCCTGGGGGCTGGGACAGGCAGTGCTTCTCCTGAAGGTGACATGTGGGTGGGTGACCTCTCATCCCCTCGGCCAGGCACTGTTGTTTGCTTCATCAACAGCCCTGAAACCAGGAGGGCTGGTGGGTCTCCCAGTCACACTGGGATGAGACCTGTGGCAGTGCCTCCACACCTTTAGGTGTTGGGGGGATATTGGATAAGGCTGCACAACGGGAATGTGCATTGGGACAAAATAACTTGGGCAAGAAATATTATTTTTAATCTAATAATTTATTTTCCTCTGGTAGATGGGGTTTCACCTGTGCCTGGTGGGTTGGCTGGACAATGGCACAGCCGGATACCCCACAGCCTACCCCAACCCCAGCTGTGGGTCCAGCCACGTGGGCATTGTGGACTACGGCTCCCGAAGCAACCTGAGCGAGACCTGGGACGCGTTCTGCTACCGGGAGAAGGGTGAGTGGAGCCAGCACGTTGCCTGGGGACAGTCCTGCTGGCACGAGGGCTGTGTCATGGCAGCAGTTACAGAACTGCCCTTGCAGCATGAGACATGGGCAGGTGGGCATATCCCCCTTTCCCCATGCCCATGTCCGGAGGGAACATCCTGAGGGGTATCCAGAAGTCAAGGAAGGGGGAGGGGGGGGGTGTCAGTGTAACTGGAATGGATGAGTCAAGTCAGTCAAGTCACATCTTGTTTTTCCTTTGCAGATCTGACTTGCACCTGCCGTGAGGGGTTTGTGGGAGATGGGTACTGGTGCAGCGGGAGACTCCCCGATGTGCTCGCAGACAACGACCGCTTCTCCACCTTCTATTCCGTAAGCAATGCTCTCCAGGCTCTTCAGTAGCCAGCAGCTGGCAACAAGGCAGAGGGAGGGATGAATCCTAACAGGAAGGAGTGGTGGTTTGGTCTGTATGTGGAGTAGAGAGTACAAAGACAGAGAGGTTTTCGTTCCTGGGCTGGGGAAGCTGGTAGTGTTGCTGGTAGCCAGCAGTGGGTGATGGGGAAGATCTCCCATCTTTTCCAGATGTTGCTCGATTTTGCCAATGACACAGAAGAAGGACTGGATTTTTTCATGTACTTGTCTGATGACTCCGCTCCCAAAACTCTGTTTGTCCCTCTGAACTCTGGCTTTGCAGACAATGAGGTAAGCAAGCAGAGATGAGAGGCTGCTTGAATGCATGGGATGAACTGCCAGAGCCCCAGAGGAGAGCAGGTGTTGCCAAAGCTGGCATGATGGTTTGAAATAGTCTGGGGAAAGAGGAGGAATGTGGGTCAGAGGGGACCACTGGAGGTCTCCAGTCCAGCTGCTCCTTCCGAAGATTTAGGTCAGGTTGCTCAGAGCCTTCTCCAGTTGAACTTTGACAATTCCTAAGGATAGCAAATCCCTCCTGCTCTGCATAGTCATTCTCTGCCATGTTTTCCATGAATGGAGCTGCCTGTGGCCATGGAGAGAGACTGGGGTTGGCATGGGGGGCTGCACAGCAGCAGGGCAGGGCTGAGACCAGCTCAGCTGTTTCTCATCCCTGCACACTGTTGCACTTTCAGACTCTGACAGGAGAGGAACTGAAGCTCCACGTGTCATCCAGCAATGTTGTCCTCTTCAGCTACAACCTCACAACAGGCACCATCATCCCATCCCAGTCAGGACATGACCTCCACATATCAGACTTCCCAGTGGGCAACAGTACAGAGCACTCAGTAGGTTTAACCTTGGCAGAGGACAAAAAAAAGCCCCACAAGTTTTCACCACCCATCTCTTCTGAGAAAGGGAACAACCGGGAGGCTTTCTGGTGAGGTGACATCACTTGTGTCCTGTGCTGTAGGACGCCAAGGGGATCAATGACACGATGATTGTGGAGTGGGACATCATGGCTTTCAATGGCATCATTCACGCGATTGCAGAGCCCCTGAGGATCCCACCGCCTGTCGTTCACCTCGGCCAGGTGAGTCCGAGGGCACAGAGAGGGAAGAAATGTGCCAAAACAGCACGAAGGGATGAGGGAACAGGGATGAGGTGACCGAGTCATCCCAAGGACTGGCCCCATCCTCTGCCCTCTGGTGTGGCCCATTTTGGGTGGGTTGCCCGCGGCCACAGCGGGGAGCGGCAGCAGGAGCTGTGCCGGGGCCGTGCCGTGACGGGGCTGCTGTTTCCGAGCAGGTGAACGGTGCCGCGCCGGGCTCGGGCTCCGTGGCCACCGGGACGGTGTCAGCGCTGTGCTTGGCGCTGGCGCTGGCGGCGGGGGCCGGCATCGCCTACCACTGCGTGAGGAGGCGGCGGCAGGAGGGGCAGTTCGGGTATTTCCAGGTACGAGCGGGCTGCGCAGCGGGCCGGGGGGTGCGGGTGGATGGAGCGGGGGATCAGCCGGGCCGGGGGGGCTGTTAGTGGGGCGGGGGTGGCACCGCCCGGCAGGGGGCGCCAGCGAGCACAGTCCGACCGGGGGGGCGGGACCGGGCACTCCGCTCAAGCTCCGCCCCCCGCGGCGCTCAGCCAATCCCGCGCCTTCTCTTGCAGGCGGATCTGCGCGAGGAGGAGGAGGAGCAGGAAGAAGGGGCGGGGCCGCGGAAGGCACGCGCCAGCAGGCCCCGCCCCCAGCGGCCGCTCGTGGCCATCCCCAACCCGCTGTACGGTGGCCACGCCCCCGACTACGAACCGCTGCACGTGAGCCACGCGCCGGCCCCCGGGCCGCCCCCCCCCCCCTGCGCTCCCCTCATAGCGCTCCCTTCACAGCGCTCCCCTTCTCACAGCGCTCCCCTTCTCACAGCGCTCCCCTTCTCACAGCGCTCCCCCCCAGCCCGCGCTCTCTGTGCCCCCGCAGGACCCGCCCATGGCCGATTCCAGCACCGACCCCGCCGGGTTCCCGCAGTGACCCCGCACGGACCGGGCCGGCCCGCCGCGAAATAAACAGCTCAGCGCCACCGGCTCTGCCCGCGCCTGCCCCCGATCCTCGTCCTGCCTTCTCTCTCCCCAGCCCAGCACTGTATGAGGTGCTGTCCACCAAAGCCTCCGGCACTCAGGGCGCTCAGTTCAGCCTCCCCCAGGGACTCACGACCCTCTCTCCTGCACGGCTGATGTTTTACAGCCCCCGGGACACACCAGCCCTCTCCTGTACCCTCACTGCCCCATGGTCAGGTACGAATCAGTCAGTTATCACCCCACACGCCTCGTTTGCCCCCACTCCCGCAGTGAGCTGGTTAGTCAGTTAGTTACACATGCTGCAGACGTTTATTGAGCTACACACTACACACAGCACAAAGATAAATGCCACGTGCACCTACTACAGCTGTTTGATTAGAGCAGCCGTGTTAACAGTGATTGTCCAGGCCACTGAGCCGGGAGCAAGGCATCCTGAACGTCTGTGACGGGCTGGGGCTGGCACATGGCACAAAGACGAGGCAGTGACAGACAAGAGGGGCCAGCCTGGCACAGCACTGGGGAGGAATGTGCAGGAACCTCTGTGTGTGTGTCTGTGTGTGTGACTCTCACTGGGGGTTGCTGACATGCCTTGTACTTCAGTGCCTTTCTCTGAGTCAGAGCTCCTGGCAGAAGGTCCTCCACACCAGCCTGGTTCCTCTCCTTCTGCTGCCCCCACAATGACAACACCCAGCCCCTCCAGCAGTCACTGCAGCCCAGCGCTCACAAGCCCCCGGTGCTACCCTCATGCTAATCCCCTGGCACCCAAACCCACAGCCCTTTTCTGCTGCGCAGACACACTCTGCCTGCTCACTACCAGACTCAGCACAAGAAGCGCCTCCATTCTCTGTTCCCTCTCTCCTTCCTGTCACCTCAACACCGATTGGCACTGTTACCCCTATTGCCATCTGCAAATGGTGCAGCAGTGAGGGGAGGAGCAAGAGAACCAGGGCAGCAAACGTCTCCACCTCTTCATCCTGCAGCCATCACTTCCCACACACTAACGATGTTCTCCTGTTTCCCAGGGCCAACCACCATCAGAGTGGCACAGACTCTCAGCTAGTCTTCCCCACCTCAACTGCCCCTCTACCCCTCCCCAGTGCCCTGCCAGTCTGAAGGCTGTCCAGGACCAGCAGAGCCCCGAGCCCACTTTCTGCACCTTACATTCTAAAGCAGCTCTCAAGTGCCTGGGCCTCCAGACTGTCACTCCTGTCCCATCCTACATGCTCTGACATTGTTATTAGCACCTCTTTGCTCTTCCTCCTCCTGAGAAGGCACCACAGGGCTTTGCATGGCCACACTACCCTTTCTGACCCACCACACCAAGCAGTACTTCACACCCAAGCCCTCCTTAGACAACCTCAGCAGCCCCTCCATCCACCTTAGGCCACATCTCAGTGAACACAGGTGGAATGGCACCACCTCTGCTGCCAACCCTGAACCTTCCCTGAAGGGCTGAACACATCCCTCTGCAACTCACAACAGACCCCACCAACTGTCAAAATACTGACATCACATGGCACCAAACCAAAAATACTGACAGTGCACAGCCCTAAACCCACTTAAAAGACTCTGTAACCTACTCCCACCACCCAGGGCTTGCACATCCTGCACAGTTACCTAACAATTCCCTTCCAGAGTCCCCAGCTGGACACACCAGTCTGGTGGGGAGGAGGAATGGGCTGAGGGCTGTTATAATCCATGATGGGCTTGCCCGGTTGGCAGCCTTGACCTCTCCCTGTCCACTTGCAGAATGACTCAAATTGCAGTCCCAGGACATCGGGGCAGCTACAGCCCTGACACACCTTGTCACCCCTCCCTTGGGTTGCACTCACCAAGCACTGGAGACGTGGGGCTCCGTGTCTGAGCCACTTCTCTGGGCACAGAGCAGGGAGTGGCTGTGTCCCACCACCATCACTGGCTCCCCAGCTCACCTGCTCCCAGAGAGGACTCCCTGCCAGAGAACAAGCACCCAGGCTCTGTGCAGCCTACAGTGCACCTCAGGGAAAGGGATGGAGCCAGTGAAGGGAAAAAATAAACACACCATCTACACAGGTACGCAAGTGTCAAACGCCCTTTAGTGGTGGACAGAGGTGCTGCCGCCGAGCGGCCCCATGACAGCCCGGCTGTGCCGCTGCCTGCAGTGCCTGCCCCTCACCGAATGTGCACCATCTCCTCCAGGAAGGGGGTTTTCATGCAGCCCGTGCAGAGCTGGTCCATCCACAACGGGGCCTCGTGCTGCAGGGGGGTGCGCCGCGGGTAGAAGGTGAAGTTCACGTCGTAGTTGAGCAGGCAGCTGATGGAGGCCATGTAGATGTCGGAGAAACGCACCAGCCGGCGAGAGAAGTAAGTGGGGTTGTGGAAGGTGCGGAAGATGCTCCCAAACTGAGGGTTGAACAGGTTCTTTGTCAGCGACCTGAGAAGAAAGAGATGGTGCTCTGTAGATAAAACTGTGGTCACAGATTCTTCCCCTTCCACACCCTTTGCTCTGGGCCAACCCAGCCCCAGAAGCATTAGATCACAGTAAGTACCCTCCCCTGCAGGTTGTGATGCAGACCAGTCCCTGTGCAGAGAGATTGGGATGAGTATTCAATGCACTCTTAGTCTGCTTTGTTACCCTACCTGTTACAGGCAGTGCCAGGAGCTGCAGTAGCAGACAGCCCACCAACCCCTCCCAGCACTCCCCTTTCTCTGCCTTCAAACCAGTCCACTCTCCCAGGCTCAGGACTGCCCTGCTGCATCCCACCCTGCCCCCCTACCAAGGCAAGTGACACCAGAGGGGACCAGAGTCCAACAGCTGCAGCACCATTGTCCTAAAAGCAGGTTACAGAACAGACCCAGTACAGGCCTGAGAGGCCCTAAGAGACCTCATGAGCGAGGGGGGACAATGCTCACCTGATCTCCTGTCGTTCCTTCATCCACTCCAGCAATACTTGCTTCGACTCTGCATCCTGATACATCTGCAAAGACAGCAGCAGAACAACATCCATCATTCCTGCAGGCTTCCTCAGCTCCCCCCAGTTTCCACTGTAACTCACAAACCCAGAGCCCACCGCACCAAGAGAAGGATATTTTTGAGAACCAAGCAAGATGGTACATCCCCTCAATCCCATGCTAAGCCCAAAATGCAGACTCTGAAGGCAGCATACTACCTGTCCTGCTCAGCCAGGAGCTGTTTACCTGCATTCTCTCCAGCAGCCCCGTCAGAGCCTGCTGCCAGGTCAGGGAGTGCATGTACTGCTCTGTGTTTATGATCCGGATCTCCGTCTCCAGTTCAGGAACGATGGCTCCAGTCCTCCAGCCATGACGCAACATGAGGTCCTGGAGGTCAGGGAGAAAAAACAACCATGAATTCAACATAAAGCCTGAAGGCCAAACACAACCCTGGTTCCTAGAAGAGTGGTCTTGTTCCCATTTTGGATTCTCAGGGGACAGCCACACATGGCCTGTGCCAGTAACAACCATCTCCTGGCCAGCAGGATCAGCTCTGTGGAGTATCTTGAAATGTGGTGCTTTGCCTGTGCCTGACAGAGCATGGGCGAGCTGGTGTGTCAGAGCTGAGCACTCAGAGCAGGCCCTGCCTTATCTCCCACCCAGCTGCAGCCACAGCAGCCACACGGGCTTGCTCCCACCCCACTGGAGAGCGGAGACACTTCACTCACCGCAAGGTCACTGTACAGATGGTCACCAAAGTAGAGCACTTTGGACCCACGCCAGCCCGTCAGCCTCAGGAAATCAAAGAGGTTACCCTGCCAGGGACAGGAGTACAGAGAGAAACGTGGTTACACCTTACCACATGCAGCTGTGAGCACTCAGGGGTATCAGCCTGCTCCCTCCCCCACCATTTACAGCCAAAGGTTTCTGTCCTTGCCCACCTCACTTCACTTATGTGACAACCCGTCTGTACATTCCTCAGCTTTTCTCAGGCTACAGAAAAACTCTTTGGAAGAGTTTTTGCGAACAGGCAATTTGAGGGCACAGCAAGTCAAAAGGACAACATGGACTAAAAAGACAATAAGAGGAGGCAGTTTAGAGGTCATGAGACACCTAAATCAGAAAAGTCTGAGGATGGGCAGAAAGAACTCCAATGTGTTCTGGGTTTAGAAGTTGTTAAGCTCAGGTGACAATGATTTCACTTCACAGGGTGCACCAGAGACAGGGTGAGTATCACCATGCAAAGCTTTCAGAGTCAGGAGCACTTTAGGCTGTTCTACATCACTAAGCACCATCCAACCCCAAAGATTAACAACACCCACATGTTCAGAAATTGTTTAACCAAGCCAAAAAGCCAGGCAGCTTGCACAGATTTACAGCAAAGTAAAACAAACCAAACCCCAAAGCACCAGCTCAAGCACAGCACCGAGCAGCTTTCAAGGCTTTCCAAACATCCATCCACACAGAGAGGACACTTCAGGGACTACCCTTCCATTTCCAAACAAGTTTTTCACATGGGTCATAACAGAAACAAAACCCACTAGGAAAGGAAAAGGCTCCATCAGTGCTTGCAGCCACTTGGCAGCAAACCCTCCAGCCAGTGCCAGGAGAGAGCCAACACCTGCCCGGGCAGCAAACCCCAAACACAAGGCAGGTCCCACAGCAGCCGGGAGCATTTGACCACTGGCAGCTTGCTGTATGGAAGGCTAAGGGTGCCCACAACAGGGTGCTGGGCCTCCTGCTGCTGGTCCCCTCAAACAGCAGTGGATCTGAGAGCCAGGACACTTGTGCTTAGAGCTCCACAGAGCCACAGACCTGTTCCATGACCTCTGGATCCTGTCCTGAGGCAGCAGACGATTGGAGTACAGAAGTACCACACAGAAAACACCACATCTATGGGAATGGGGGGACTAAGGGCATCACTTGAACTTCCCAGTCCCCAGGACAAACCTCAAATGTTGTCCCGTTCGTGGGACACCCACAGCAAGTAAATGCCATAGAGCCATGCTCCAGGGGACAGGAACAGGCCACCAGCAACACCACCACAACAGCAAGGTCCATGGCCACTAACACTTGCCAGAAAAAAGCATATTGT